AATAATTTATGACTCTAGTTACAGCCACTTTGTTATGCTTTCCCTTTTCTACCTGCTTTGTGGTACCGAACCTTCTACTGGTCGGCTGTAGTACCTGCGGATAAATCAGCGCTACCAAAACATTTTTTTTGTAAATCGTGTAAAAACGGAAATTTCTTTGTGATGATAATTTATTGAAAAAACTTTTATAATTTTATTTCAAAATTAAATTGTATCGAAGAGTGCATCCATTCCTTGCGGTCGCATAACTGGATAATTTTAGTTGTTATATTTGCAAAAATAGTAAATAGTCTGCGGAATTGAGGCTCTCCATAGACCGGATTCATCAGCCAATGACCAACACGCCGTGCCACTGAGGCCCCGCCCCCTCGTGTATATATTCAGAGAGCTCCGAAAAATCTCGCTAATATTCAACGATCACCGGTTTTCAATAGTGAGAATTGATAACGTACAAGAAAACGATAGAACACCTAAATATAAGTTTTTATCTCCGAGTGAGCGTCGAATTGTATTGAAAGTGGAAAATTATTTTACTTTAGAAAAAATCAACATGGGACCAATTACATTAGTACTGGCAGTTCAAAAAAGGACAAGTGCAGCTTGTGGAATTTCAGAACGGACCTTGTAAAGAATTCGCAAAATGAGTGAGAAGGAATTAAGTAAGGAAAATAAAAGGATTCGTTTGCATCCGAAAACCCTCGACTTGCCACAAGGAAAATCAATCAGAAATATCATTTGTGACATGTACAAAGCAAAAGGAATATGGCAAATGGGGGCTTACTGTAAACATAAGCAAAACAGAATATTTAAAAATTGGAGGAAATACCACAGATCTGAGGCTTGAAAACGCAGTCATAAAAGGTTGCAACCAGTATAAATATCTAGGAAGCATCATATCAGCAGATGGCAGAGTTAAGATAGATGTACAAAACCGAATAACCCAAGGGAAAAAATGCATCCGAATACTGAATTCATTACTGTGGTCTAATAAAATAAAGATGCATACCAAACTTCGCGTATACAGAGCAATTGTAGAACCAATTACCACATATGGTGCCGAATGTTGGACGATGACAAAGAATGAACGAGATAAAGTAGACGTTGTGGAAATGGATTATCTTAGAAGGTCATGTCGAGTATCGAGAATGGAAAGAATCAGGAATGAGGAAATACAAAACCGTACAGGAATTAGAGATACTCTTTCAGATAGAATACAAGGAAGGCAATTACAATGGTATGGTCACGTGATGAGAATGGAGGAGGAGCGGTGGCCAAAGAAAGCCTTAATGTATGTTCCGCCAGAAAGAAGGAAAAGGGGAAGACCACCAAATTCCTGGAGAAGAGAAATTACAAAAACAATGCAATCTAGAGGCTTAGAAGAGGGAGATTGGGGAGATAGGAAAAGATGGAGGCTGAAATGCGGGAAGCGGCAATCGCCGTAGGACCCCCGTTATATGATGATGATGATGACAAAGCAAAAGAACATGTTACAAGAAAGACACTTATTAAAAAATAAAGGACAGATAACTTTGTGATATGGGTTTGACCAGTTTATCAAAAGTATTAAAAGCTATGAGTTTTAGATACAAAAAAACTAATAATCGTAAAGTGTTGTGCGAGCTGTCCAATGTTGTTGGAAAAAGGTGGAAATTGATATAAAAACTATTTAAAAAACAAGAATTCTGAATTCGCCAGACAATCTGTGTTTCTTGACTAAACATGGATTTTTGCGAAAGGAAATAATACCAAATCATCCTGGCAAGATGATTCTACCAAATACTACTCGAGTACTAGTGCGAGTAATGGCAAAAGATATACTATATTGCATGCAGGAAATAGGAAAGGTTTTATACCCATCGAAAGGTTTCTTCGACAAAAAAAAACTGATGATTACCATGGAAATATGGACGCCGATATTTTTGAACATTGGTTTGAGAAAAAATTATTAAAAAATGTGGAAAATCCGTCATTAATAGTCTTAGACAATGCTTCGTATCACACCAGAGAGGAGGAAAAGTTTCCCACAAGCAGCTGGAAAAAAGAAGACTTAAGAAAGGGGCTGTCGGAGAAAAATATAGAACACGAACATCTAGTTTTAAAAGCTGAATTATTAAATAAGTGCAAAGAACACATTACTGAGAAAAAATTTGTCGTTGTTGTCGTACTGAGAAAAAACAACATCACTGCCAGTACAATTCAATTGAATTGGTGTATGAGATCACTAAAAACTACTATGATAAAAATGCGTGTAAGACCACCGACGAAGCCAGCGTTTTACAACTCTGGCAAGACGCACTTAACCAAGTCAATGAGGAACAATGGTGGAAACGTATTGAGTATTGAGCATACTGAAAAAAAATTTTAGAGTCGTATGAAATAGAACAAGTTATTGATGAAGTAAGACCATTAATTATTTGTACAGATGAAGATTCAGATGAATTGGATAGCGAGTCAGATAGCAATGATACCTGTCCATAGATTAAGACATAGATAGAAAAATTAACACAAAAGGGTTCTAACCACAAAAAAAATAAAACAAAAACCGCATGCAGGAGAGAGCCGGAGGCACGCCGCACGACGCTGTTGAATGCAAGCACCAAAAAAATTAGATTAGCAAGTAAGGTAGATTAAGGACATGACTGGGCATTGGACGACGGATGAAAGGATTCAATGCTTGCTCGCTCTCGACTACACTTGGTGCAGAAAAGGGAAAGCAAGTATCGGCATATACAACCATTATTAGATCGCCGAACAATTGCTTTGACCGGTAGTGATAAAGCCAAATGGCCTAACCTACCACTTAAATGTAAATACACGGAAATCTCCCATTGCCTGACGGTGGATACCTGCCGGTGGATAACAGTAAATTTACTGTTTATATTTTGAGAACGATTTCCGAAGTGGAAATTGAAACGTCAATAAACGTATTTTTATCTTTAATTGTTACCATAACAATACAATAAAATAGTTGCATTTTTTAGTAACTACAGGAAACTACAGAACTGGAGAAAAAATGCCAAGAAATCGAAATTCTCCAAAGTAAATACGACGACTTCAACGTGCATAAGAAGGTAAGAGAAATTACAGGTAAATGTAAAAACAGAAGAGTAAGTAAACTTGTTAATGACAATGGAGAGATAATCGTGGACAAAGAGAGTATCAATGATACCTGGAAAAATTACATAAGAAATTTATTTTTTGATGAGAGAGAGAACCAGCCCCCAATACCTACGGAAACAGGACCACCTATACTAGTGGCAGAAATAAGAGCAGCCATAATATCACTAAAAGAAGGTAGAGCTCCAGGACCAGACGGAGTACAATCTGAATTTCTTAAACTTCTTGATGATGAATCTTTAAGAGTACTATGTAAAATCTTCAATAATATCTATGACACAGGCAATATCCCAAAAGATTGGCTACTTTCAGAACTTATTACCTTACCAAAGAAACAGGGAGCAAAAAAGTGCGGAGAATATAGGCTAATAAGTCTAATGAGCCATACATTAAAACTTTTTCTTAAAATTATACATCGTAGAATATACAAGCTATGCGAAGAGAGAATACAAGACACACAGTTTGGATTCATGAAAGGCGTAGGTACAAGAGATGCACTGTTTAGTCTACAAGTATTATTTCAAAGATGCAGAGATATGACTTGCGATATTTACACCTGCTTTGTGGACTACCAAAAAGCATTTGATTCAGTTCAACACCAAAAAATGATGGATATTCTAACAAAAGCTCAAATGGATGATAAAGATCGACGTATAATACAAAATTTATACTGGAACCAATCAGCCACAATAAGAACGAATTTTGGAGGTGAACCAACGGAAATGATCCAGATTCTACGAGGCGTTAGACAAGGTTGTATACTTTCACCTATATTATTTAATCTATATTCAGAGGAAATATTTAGTGAAGCCTTGGAAAAATGAGAACATGGAATACTTCTAAATGGAGAACGCCTAAACAACATCCGTTATGCAGACGACACCGTTATTTTTGCAGACAGTTTGAACAGTTTACAGCAACTAATAAACAAAGTAAATGAAGTAAGTGAAAGATTTGGACTTCAAGTAAATATAACAAAAACTAAATTTATGATCATCAGCAAAAATAAAGTTAGAGACGCTCAACTACTTATCAATAATACACCAGTGGACCGAGTTAAACAGTATAACTATCTTGGAACAACAGTAAATGAACAATAGGATCACTCACAGGAAATAAAATGTAGAATAGAGAAGGCCAGGAGTGCATTCAATAACATGGCCAAACTCTTTAAAAGCCACAATCTTAATCTGGAGATAAAAGTAAGGCTCCTACGATGTTATATCTTCTCAATATTGTATTACGGAGTTGAATCCTGGACACTAACTGAAGCAATGGAGAAAAAACTTGAAGCCTTCGAGATGTGGCTATACAGGCGAATTCTAAGGATATCATGGACAGACAAGATAACCAACGAGACCGTATTACGAAGAGTGGGCAAAGAAAGAGAGGTGATGTATACCATTAAAAGGAGAAAGTTGGAATATCTCGGACATATAATGAGAAACAGCACTAAATACAGATTACTGAAGGTAATCCTACAGGGTAAAGTATTCGGAAAGCGAGGAATTGGGAGAAGGAGAATATCATGGTTGAAGAACCTGAGGAAATGGTTCTCCACAACAACAACGAATCTATTTAAAGCATCAGTTAATAAAATAATTATAGCCAGAATGATTGCCAATATTCGGAACGAATAGGCACTGAAAGAAGAAGAAGACAGGAAACTAAATACCCGTAAGATGGCAACCTTTAACCGTTGATTGAAATATCGAAATATTATTATCCAATATTTTAATCAACGCTTTAACAGATTTCGTTCAATGATTCAGCTGGTTTGTTAATTTTGATTTATTGTTTATGAAGTCAATACGTGCATTTTTTTATTTCCTTGACATCGACTTTGTAAATTTATAGTTAATATGACGACGACGGTATATATATTAAACAGTTGTAATAATATGAAAATACTTACCTTCATCATTCTGATCGTAACTGTTTGCTTGTGTTACTCCCATTGGTATGTTTTCATCATAAACGTTTATCCAATCTCTGTATTTTCTTCTTAAATTTTCCTTCTTTGACCATGGAAATTCGGATCTTCGCCCTGTGTTAAAGTCAGGTTGATCCATATAAATATTTGGTAACTTAGATTTACGATTGGTTGCAGCATCTGCAGGTACATTTTGTATATCTTGTCTTCTTCTCTTTGGAATTGCGTTTACGTAGAATTTTGCAAACTTTGGCCTAAAAAACGTTCATGAGGATTGGATTTCTGAAATACCTTATATTTCTTTTTTCTTTTTAAATGTCGTAGGGATCGTGGATGCCTTTTTTCTCTTATTATAACAGTTTTTGGTTCACGATTATTTTCCATCAACTCCTTTTCATTCCATTCATTTAATATTTGTGGTACCTCAGTGTTGGCAAAAGCAACATTTTGTGTCAAAGGAATTTGTTCAAAGTATATGGGCAGTTCTCTTTTTTTCCTTCTACGATTGGATGAATATATTCCGTCAAGTATGTTTTGAAGTTCGTTGACAAGTTGTAGATCTTTTTCTAAAACCTCTAAACGATCGCTTTCTAAATTACGTTTCGCGTGTGTAGATGTGGAATTAATTATCTGAAAAAATGTATGTGTTAAAAATAAAAAACGATAATAAAATAAATATTTTTTATATACGAAATAAATAAAAGGTTCACTTCAATCTACTGTGTCTGAAAAACGTAATAAATTATTGTTTATGGCCTATATATACGTTTAAAAAACAGTGAAATTTTGCCTCGAAATAGTTAATGTAACCGCTTTATTATCTTTTTATAATGTAAACTATCTAATTTACCGGTTTGTTGAGAATAAGCCACAATTTTAGACCTCGAAATAGTTAATGTAACCGCTTTCCTATCTTTTTATAACGTAAACTATCTAATTTACTGTTTTTATTGAGAATAAGCCACAATTTTAGATTAAAATAAGTTTATTTGGCGATTCGATTTCCACTTCGAAAACCTTTCTTAAAATACAAACCATTAGTAAATTAACAAATTAACAAACTTTGTTTTTGTTACCAGATAAAAAATTTATATAGCCCAGGCTGTGGGAGAAAAAGTACTCTCTAATCAAGGAATTTATGTAATGTGGCCTAGATTATAAAGGGTAACCTCAGAAGCAATCCCCCAGTTAGATGGGGGAGTTAGACGAAGATAAAAAAAAGAGTTTTCTACGACCAATAGGAGCCGAGTTAGCACATTTTTTTTTTTAAATCGCAGAGGCTTTATTAATAACAGTTCAGAAACGAATCTGGCGTCATTTACTACTTAAAAACCTATATTTTCTTCAAGTACTTGTATTCCCCTTAAATTAAAATTATTATTTATTGTTAAAAATGATGAAGTTTACCTTTTTTCAATGTAGCACCGAGACTGCATGTGGCAAACATTGCGGATGCCGTGAGTACGGCCTAAAATGTGCGAGAATGTACGAAAATTGTTATGGAGAGAGTTGCGAAAATTGTCATAATGATGAATATGAACTAGTGAATATGAATATTATGAACCTCATAATAATATCCCGACATGGTAAGTATTTGTTCGTGCATTTAGTTTACCTTCAATAAACACCAAAATTCTGATTTTATATGTTTCGTTATTTAAAAAACATAAATGATGTATCTTCTATATGTCACTGACTTACTAATACTGGTATTTTCTTATTAATAACTTCCTCTTTCAATATTGCTAACCAGATCCTACTACATTCTGCCGAGGAATTTGCGACACAATTGGCCTCATTTAGCATAATTAAAGCCGCTTCTTTAATTTTTCTTTTTTTACCATCCGTTTCTTTTAGGACAACATTTGAATTATTCCATTGAACCCTATATTCATTATCCCATGCGTGTTTACATATTTGAGATCTATCACATTCTCTATTTTATTTATTCTCTATTTTATTTATTATCTTTATTCTAACATTTAATGGCCTTGATGTTTCACCTAAATAAAACTGATCACATTCACAAGGTATTTTATAAATGCAATTCTTTGTCCTTTCTTGTTCATTGTTAGGTTTGGTTTTGGATAAAATAGATCTCAACGTGTTTGTTGTCTTGAATGTTTTTGAAATGTGGAATTTATTTCCTATTCTTTTAAGTTTTTCTGATAATCCTTTTATGTACGGTATTGTTATTTTCCTTGGTGTTATCTCACCAAGTCTATTCATACTTGGACTGAAAAACGTGTTCAAAGACATTATGTGGCAGATAAAGAAATATATGTTAATGGAAGAAAACTGAGTTATTTGAGATACGCTGATGACATTGTAATATTTGCTACAAGGTTCGAAGACCTACAGATCATGATGACGTAACTATTTCAAGCTTCGGAAAAAGTTGGTCTTAAGATGAACTAGGAAAAAATAAAATAATCATCAAGTCTAATATGGATAAAATAGTAAAAGCACAAAGAGCGATGGGAAGATCAATGCTCGGGTGGGACTTAGAGACAAAAAAACAAACAAATGGATTAGAAGCAAAACCAAAGTAAAAGACGCAGGAGAACATGCTGCCAAATTAAAATGGAGCTTCGCAGGACACAATGCTCGACTGAAGGATAAGAGATAGAACCACGAAATATGGAGATGGAAAAATGGAGATCATGGTTAGGAAAGAGAAGCAAAGGAAGATCACTAATGAGATGGGCGGATGATATTTAGAAGATCGGAGGACACAACTGGAAGCATGTGGCGCAAAATAGAAGACACTGGATTGATTTGGGGAGGCCTATGTTCAAAGTGGGATTACTTAAGGTTGAAGAAGAAGAAGAAGATGGAACTCGGTTATACCTGTCGGTTATGCATGCAAGGATAAAACCATCATGCAAATCCTAACGTGTATGGCCTCCATATGATGCAAAATAGAAATTGATGTGGAAATAATCAAGCAGGAAGCAATGTTTAGATATTTGGGAATTGATATAACCAATTACGGATATGTTGAACAAGAAGTACAAAAACAAAGCTTAAAAGCAAGTAAAGCGGCGGTATCTATTAATAAAAAAGAAGAGGTTAGTCTTCGTAAGTGGGTATATTTATTTAAAAACCCTTAAAAGGGCTACATAAAAAAAAACAAACGTTTTCGGACTTAACAGTCCATCATCAGGTTTAAATTTGAAAATTGCCTAGAATAAGAATAAACCATTTAGTTAAAACAAACGTGGTTATGAAATTTTGACTATGGTTAAAAAGCAAAAATGGCTTTACTAACTAGGTTAAAATGCCTGAGCCACCAAAATACGAAAATACGGATGCTAATATTAAAGAAGAAACGGACTTTAAAGCCTACATACCAAAAGGAAAAAGACAACTCTCCTGTGGGAGACAGGGAGACCGGTCCTGACTGAGCACAAGTTAACCTGTGTTTTTAGTTATGATCGTAATTTATGCAAAAGTGCAAGTAAATAGTCTGATTTATTTTGTGAAAGTTGGGCATATCAATAAAAAAGGCAGTAAGTGATCAATGAGATATTATTTTTTACTTAATTATTGCAAATAACAAACATTTTATTGTATATTTACCAATAATATTACATTAACCAAGAAATCGTTCAATCGAGGTTTAAATTGACAAGAACTGGTTGGGTTCCCATCAGGGGACAGGGCCGCATTCACTCTTGCGGATAACACCTGTTATTTTAAAATAATTTTTCCGAAGCAAACATGGATTTAAGTAATGCACAACAACTTGACTCCGAATCATCTCAACTTAAAAGAACTGTACCAAAAAGCTACTCAGCAGTGACCAATCAATTTAAATTTCAAAGAACAAGCACTAGTGTTTAGTGCAAATGAAAATACTCCACTTCAAGACTACCTAATTCCTCTTGGTAATATAGTTCAACCAAAAAATATCATTTTCGCCTCCCGCCTTTCCAACAACCGAATTTGAATGTACCTTTCCACCAAAAATATCCTAGATGAGTTTTTAGATAACCATGGTCAAATCACTATCCGAGGAGAAGTTTTAAGAGCTAGATGGCTTATAACACCTGCTAAAAGAATTGTTATGTCAAACGTATGCCCGACCATTCTACATAATATTCTTGAAAAAGAATTACTTAAAATTGTTCTAAATCTTGTATCTCCCATAACATTTCTAAAAATTGGTGCAAATCTTCCCGATTATAGCCATATCCTTAGCTTTAGACGGCAAGTATATGTTAGCCCTCATAATTTAACCATCCCAAGCGCCATAACAATATCATTCGAAAACACAAACTACACAGTATTCTTTTCACAAGCTGGGAACGTCTGCTTTAAATGTAAGAAACCAGGACACGTGGCAGCAACCTGCACCGAACCTACAAGTATATCTGAAATACATCAAACTCCACTAAGTTCCACAACTTCAAATATTACAACTATAGCTGATTTGACTGCACAAACTGTAACAGAAACGCAACCATCAATGTCGCTGTCTAACCAAACTCTACCTCCATTATCACACCAAAATATCCTTTTGCAACATACCGAGTCAGAATTACCTAATGTAAATACAGAATAAAGAAACAGGAAATAAAGAAACGGATTCAAAACGCTCTATAAATGAAGTCATCTCTCTAGAAACTGACACTGCACCTCAAGATAGCCCATTTGTAACACCAAAATCCACAGGAACTCGAAAAAAGCCAAAGAAAACTAAACTTGAAGAAATGAATTCGGATTTATCCTTTTCATCCATGATAGAACCAGCCGAAACCTCATTAATAATCACGAACCACCATTTCTACTGAGCAGTGAACAATTAGCCCTCCTACTAGACAACACTGCCGGCTTATCGAATCCCATAATCTCGATTAAGGATTTCATATCTGATTTGCAAGGTCTCTCTCACATGTTAAATCCGTCCCTATTTAAAAGAAAGGTCAATAAAGCGAGACTAACCAACTTAAACAAAAAAATATTTGCTTATCTTGGAGAGGTGGGCTCTGAATTTGAAAGTGATGCATCACAAACCAGCACTTATTAGCAGCTATCGTTTAGTTTTTATTTTTTTCTTATTTAAATTTTTCATTTCTTATTTTCAACTCGATCATACAATGGAATATCGATGGATTTTTTCATCGCTTGGCTATGCTACAAATTATCATTGCCAAAAACTGTCCAGACATAATCTGTCTACAAGAGACCAATTTAAAACCCCAACAGAAATACAATCCTAAACAATACATATGCTTCCGTAAAGACAGGATGCTTGTTAACCATGCTAGTGGTGGTGTTATAACTTTAGTAAAAAAATCTTTCAATGCAAATTTATTTCCCGTAGTAAGCAATTTAGAAGCCATAGTCATCAAAATTCCTTAATGTCATATTATCTATGTAATATCTACATTCCTCCCAACTAACAGGTAAATTATGCAGATATACTGCACCTCTTACACAAAATTCCAACACCACGTATAGTCGTCGGTGACTTTAATGGACACAATATAATATAGGGATCTTCTAACACAAATACGATGGGAAGAATAATAGAAAACCTAATACATAATGTTAATTTAAATTTTCTTAATGATGGAACCCCCACGAGGTTCAACTCAGCATCAGGAGAATCCTCGCAATTGACCTAAGTCTCTGTGATCCAACTTTAACTCCTTGCTTATCCTGGGAAGTGTTGTCGTTCACCTACGGCAGCGACCATTACCCCATAGAAATCTGCAATATTAACACCATACCGAAACCAAAAGACACCTTTGTCTTAAAATGGAAAACAGAAAATGCTGATTGGGTGAGCTTTTCAACATATATTGATAATTCGTAGAGAGCTGTGAAATAAATTACTGTGATATCGATAGAAAAATCACCAATTTTAATGAGTTGATACTGAAAAGTGCAGAACTCTACTTTCAAAAAACCAAAAAAATTCACAATCATCATCCAGTACCATGGTGGAATAAGGATTGCGAAGAAGCAATACGGCAAAGTAAAAAAGCTCTAAATAGGTTTAAACGGCACAAAACTCAAGAAAGTAAAATATAATTCAAACGGTTAAAAGCTAGAGCCCAATTAATCATAAAAAATTCAAAAAAAGCCTCATGGTCAAAATACGTCTCAGAAATAAACAGTTCTACTCCAATGAACGAAGTTTGGAAAAGGGTAAAGAAAATATTCGGTTTAAAGTATTCTTCATCAATTAGCACTCTTAAAATAAACAATACCACAGTCTCTTCTTCACAAGATATTGCTGAAACTCTTGCTTCCACCTTTGAACAACATTCCTCTAGCGAAAACTACGACAATAATTTTAGGGACTACAAGCTAAAGAAAGAACGCACCATCTTGTCTCTAGAAGAATCCCACGAAAACCCCTATCTCAACCTCTTACTATTACAGAACTAAATAACTCCTTACAAGATATGAAAAACTCAAGTCCAGGACCCGACAATATTCCTGTTGTATTCCTAAAGCATTTATCAATCTTAGCAAAACAACATCTTTTGCAAATTTTCAATCAAATTTGGCAGCAACGACAATATTCGTCTGTATGGGCAAAAGCCACAATTTTGCCGTTTTTAAAATCCAGAAAGCCTCGACTTGATCCAGAATCATACCGACCCATCTCTCTAACGTGTGCCATGGCTAAATTAATGGAGAAAATAGTCAATGCCCGGCTTATGTGGACACTGGAAAAATCTCATTTCTTCTTATCAGAGCAAAACGGCTTCAGACGTAACCGGTCAGAAATTGACAACATCGTAGACTTACAAAGTGATATCCAAGAAGCGTTAGCAATTAATCAAATGTGCATAGCTATTTTCTTTGATCTAAAGAAAGCCTTCAATACATGTTGGAGATTCAACATCATTAAAAAATTGCAAGCATCCAATATTAGAGGACACTGCTTAGCCTATATCGAAAATTTCTTAAAAGACTTTTCTTTCCAAGTAAGAGTTAACAAAGTTTATTCTGATTTTTATACTGCAGAAAACGGTACCCCACAAGGCTCAGTACTTAGTCCTACCCTATTCTTAGTTGCCATAAACAACATATTAAACAAATTACATAAACCTCTCAAAGCTTGCCTCTATGCCGACGATTTAGTGGTGTATATTAAAGGAGCACAAAAGGAATCTATGTGCAGAATAGTACAGACATTTCTAACCCAACTAGATGATTGGACGGCTAGTACGGGCTTCAAATTCTCCGTTACAAAGACAACTGGTATGGTGTTTACGAAAAAATCATCCATTACACCAGTCCTTTATCTTTACAACAGCATCATTCCATTCCAAAACTCCGTGAAATTTCTTGGAATGTGGCGGGATCAAAAACTTTCCTGGAAAAAGCACATACAACACTTAGCGCTAACATGCAACAAAAGACTCAATTTGCTTAAAACCGTATCAAATCGTTTCTGGGGTTCTGACTTCTTTACACTACTCCTTCTGTATAAAATACTAATTAGATCCAAACTCGATTACGGTTCAATTTTTTATGCCTCTGCAACCAAGAGTACCCTAAAACCGTTAGATACAATCCACAATGCCGCACTTCGGATCATTCTCGGAGCTTTTCACACTTCACCCATAGAAAGCTTATATTCTGAAACTGGAGAACCATCATTGCAGTATAGGCTGGCACTTTTAACACTTTCACACGCTTCTTCTGTAGGTGCTAATAAGGATCATCCACTCTTCGAAATTACTTTTTCTAAAAATAATCTTGACTTTCTCTTTAATAAACCTCGTACTGGAAAACCTTATTACACACGAGTAAAATCAATTCTGAATAATTTTGATACAATAATCCCAAATGTATTTCAGTGTAACATCCAACATCCGGCTCCATGGTTAATAAGTATCCCAAATTGCAACACTTCTCTAATGAGTTCTTCAAAAAATACAATAACAACATACTAATTAAAAACAAACTAAACGAGATTCGTGAACGAGACTCCCTTAACTGCACAAATAACTTTACTGATGCCTCTAAATCTAATGAAGGCATTGGTTATGCATTTGTTACTCCAACGTCTACTTTCAAATTTAAACTACCGCCTAGCTCAATTGTTTTCACCGCTGAATTGTTTGCTTTGTACCGTGCCCTAAAATATGCAAACCTCTTAAGAATTTCAAAACCTCTGTTTCTCACGGACTCGCTCAGCTCTCTTCTTGCAATACAGCATCTGTATCCTAAACAGCCCCTGGAGCAACTAATAAAAACTGAACTACAAATCGCCCAAGAGAACCACATAACCTCTAAATTTATATAGATCCCATCGCATATTGGAATTATCGGCAATGAAGAGGAAGACAGTAGTGCTCGTGATGCAGCAACAAGTGCGGAATCTGAATTAGTGCGTGACAGTGTATGTAAAGATCTCAAAACGTTTTTTAAACAAAAAGTGATTGGTCAGTGGCAGCGCGAATGGTTTCTATCGCAATCTAAATTAAGATCGCTAAAACCAGATACACGACAGTGGAAAACTGGTGCTAGTACACGGTTTATTCAAACGGTTCTAACGCGCTTACGTATAGGACACACTAATAGCGGCTTCCCACGATCGGCGATATTACGGACGTAAGCGGACCAGCACGCACCACGCACCGTGGGAATGGTTTCGTCCGTGGTAGCGCAGGCACGTCTGTGCTGGTCCGTCCTATCCATCTAGAGTCGGTAAAATCAAAGGTGTGGTACATGCTCGTGCGACGCGATCCTAGCGCGTCTGTGTTTTAACAGACGACAAGTGCAAGTCAGAAGTTTTTCATTCGCTGACACGAGTAGTTGTCTGTAGTGTTGTCAAAGTTGTTTTGCAGTTTTTGCTAAAAAATGGAATGGACAAACGAAGTTATTTTTGATTTTTTAAATTTGTATCAAAATAAAACAAATTTATGGAATTCTACGGCACCAGAGCATAAGAAACGGAACCGATATATACGATGTATGGAACCGAATAAAAAATCAATTGAAGAATAGTACTATTTCGATTAAAGAATTAAAAAAGAAGACAAATAATTTAATGCCGAATTTAATGTTAACAAGCCTGAGTGGCCTTTTTATGATATAATCAAACAATACTGTCACGGACCGTAGGAAGAGCTCTGTCTGCGGTGCGTTATCGTCCGTGCTGATCGGCTGTCCGCGATGATCTGTAGAATCGCCGATCGTGGGAAGCCACTATAAGATCACACACTCTTACTTACTTTCGGCCAGTGAACGCCCCCTGTGCGACCTATGTGCTACGCCTCTTACCGTCGCGTATTTGTTAATTGAGTGTTCAAAATTCCATAGAGAACGTTTAATAAACAATATACCAAATACTATACCAGATTTATTAGGAGAAAACTGTCCCGTAAAAAACTTATTTAATTACCTAAGGTCAATCAATATTTTGTATCAGCTTTAAAGTTTTATTTACTGAGTAACGCCGCTAATAACCTGTTGGTGGATGCGGCAATGTTTTCTTTTTAATAAAAAAAAACTCTTCTGTCTGTATTTGTGAGAACGTATCTATTGGTGAACTAAATCATATATTCCTTTAATGTTCTTTGAATCTTCGGTTCTCTTCAATTTTGTATTAAGAAAACTAATTCACAATGAGTGTCCATTGCCGCTAAATATTAAAACTGTTCTGTCTTTCTTAGCTAAATCGGTACTTAATTCATTTATAAATTTTATCAGAAATGCAAAAATGGTAGTATAGTTAAAAGAAATAGACAGAGACTGATACAATTACCGCAGTCGATTAGTAACAATACTGAGATCAGTGAGATCAGGCAGAAAAAGTACCCAGTCGCGAATTACCGTTACTTAGGCTTACACTCCTTCACTCATGTTCACTTAAGGCGAGTCACGTGGTTACTTGACGTCACGTGGTGATCCATTATGAATTCCGATATTATACCTAACACGCCCAATACTACTTTAAATATGAGAAACCAAGACAGTTTTTTGTTAAGATAACTTACCATCGAACTGTTCAAATTTGGTTGAAGCTCTGTGGACATACTAACTGGAGTAAGTGGTTTCATAGTAGTGGTATTATTGGCACCAGCATCTAACATATTTCCAATATTGAGTAATGTAGCTTCCTCTGAGGTTATTGGAGACAATTGATTCGAAGTAGAGTTCAAGATAAGTGGGTTTATACTACTGAAACTAATGTTCACATTTCCAGCTGTACTAGTATATCCACTATCTTGAACAAAAGTAATTGAAGTTAGCGTACTTGAAGAACTCAAATTGTTTGTGTTATTGCTAGTTTGCATTTCCAAAGTAAAGCTAGGCACACTGCTTTCTACTTGCACTGATGACATTAAAGTAAAGTTCATTGGCAATGGGGTACAATTCATTGGTAATGAATATGAAGTAACATTTGTTGGTTGTGATGTGTCTAATGAATACGGAGTAAAGCTATTTGATAATGGGATTGTCACTGAAGTCTCATTCATTGGTACAGTAATTAACAGCGTGGTAATATTATTTGTTTCTAATAAATTCACATTTATATTACCACTAATATTTGAGCCTTGTATACCTAATTTCTCGTTACTAACAATATTTAAGTCTTCTTCAGGTTGGCCTAATTCAAGTAAATCATTTGGATTTATATTAATGCTAGTTTCATTTGATACTACAGTATCTATTCCACTAGTCTGCAATGAAATACTGAGCGTACTTTCGAAATTACTCAAAGTTACCCCACTTTGAATAACTTGACTCTGGGTATTTGGTATTCTGAAAAAGTCTGATTAGAATCTTGTAAAAGTGAAGAATCAACATCTTTTCCAATGCCTGCATCAACATCAGTAAGTTTTTGGACTTGATCATAATTTGGTAGCGGACTGGTTTCGGTGATTGTAGTTAGATGTATGGTTTCAGTAGTTTCTTCTTCAAAGTTTGATAGGTTTAATTGATGTAAAGTATCCAACATTTTCATTGTTTCATCGGAGCAGTTGAAGGGTACTATTGATTTCTTTTGCTTTATCAAAGGGTTGAAGTCTACGTACTAAAATATTAAAAGTATATTTATTACCTACTTATTGATTCTTTTAGAAAAATAGTTAGATGCATTAACTTTAAAAAGAACTTGTTATAAAACGTAGAAAAGAGAACTTTGTAGATATGCAGATAGTAGATAATTAATGAATAAGTCAGATCCATCGAGTTAGAGGTTAGTATACAAATATGTAAACAAAGTAATGGCCCGTACTTCTTTCTTTTTGTGTGTGTTTTGGCTTGGACAATTGTCATTCAGCCAGTCTCAATCAAGATAAGTTTATTGATACAATTTGAGGTTTAGTGTGTGTATGTGTAGAGTAGTTGTCTTGATACTTAGCAAAGTCGATGTCATTGTCTTTGCTAAGAGACGCTAATTGTATCCGAATGTCTGCGGTCCCTTCGGTGAGTACCGATCGCACAAGGATAGAAATTATTTTCATTCATTAATTTTTTAATAAACAAAAATTTCTCCACCCAAGTAAGATTCAAACTCACGACCTTTAGGTTTAAAGGTAGGCGCTCTTACCACTGAGCCACAGAGGGGGTGGCCCGTACTTCAGAGGATAAATTAATAGTATTTCACTGTATTAATTTATCTTTATGTATAATTAATCGTGTTTTAGTGTTTACCGCGGGATAAATAAATCATCGTTTATTAAAATTTATTGCACTTTTTTAGATTATGATTAAAACTTCTGAATAATTAGTCATATTTGTATAGCAGTTTTAATCTTATTGAGTCTGGCCCTGATCCCATTGCCATATTGGTATTACCGTTAGCCACGCCTACCTACGCCGTTTTTAATACATACGGTAATATGCTCATAGCTTCTCCATAGATTCTAACTCGATGGTCAGATCGCAGTATAAGAAGCATGACGAAAAACTAGAAGGTAAAATGAGTATGGTAAAATGAAAATGAGTCTAAAAAATTATTGAGTCTGGCCCTGATCCCACCGCCATATTGGTATTATCGTTAGCCACGCCTACCTACGCCATTTTTAATACATACGGTAATATGCTCATAGCTTCTCCATAGATTCTAACTCGACGGTCAGATCGCAGTATAAGAAACATGACGAAAAACTAAAAGGTAAAATATTAAAAAAAAATATGGACATTCAGTTATTATTTTTCCATGGATTCTTTGGTTTTATGCTTCTTTTTGGATTCCCCTATAAATTTTTCCCTATTTTTCTATAGAGCATTTGTCATTTCTTTGCAAAAAACGAATAAAGTGGTAATAATAATGTTGCGGTCTAATCCAACGGGAACGATAATGTACCTGGTGGTCCAATAAGCCGATCTCTCGGCTATATATCAGAAACTATTCATGTTATAACTTTAGGAGAAAAAATTCCTTAGTAAAAGTGGCCAAGAGAAATCGCTGGAAATAACCTTTCAAGTTTCTGGGCTAACCGCTAGGGGTGGGGGCGTAACCTGTGAAGAAAACTTTGAAAACCAGTTTTTTTCGGAAATATGCCCAATTATACCAAGTGTTAAATAAGTAAACTAGAGAGAGGCCTAAATTCTGCACAAAGTTGTTCATGTAATGTTTTTTTATTTTTTCAAATAAAGGGTGGGGGAGAGTGGGAAATTATTTGTGGATACGTACCTATAACTTTTGTTTGGATCAACCGATTTTAACGAAATTAGTGTCATTAGAAAGAGTGTGGATAAATTAATTTACATCTACCATAAAATAATTGCATTTAGTTTTAATTGTCATAGGTAGAGGGTACTTTCATACAGAAAAAATTAAAATTTGTTTTTTTTCAAAATGTTTAATGGAAACACCTATTTATTGTAAATTACAATGGAACTGGATTAAATTCGTAACAAAATGGCGCAACATGTGGTTCGACACATGAATTACGCAAATTCGACTTTCGCGATTATCGCTTAGTCCCACCTATCGTGTAACTTCGGGGTATTACTGTATTTCTTCTACTTTAGGTACTAGGGTCTAGGGATCCCACCTTAAATTTTTACCTTTACCATGCGAACTGCGTGATGCTCCATTACGCATATTATGATTTTAAAAGTTTGGCATTTATGTTCCTCCTAACCTATATATTTTACCGGTTAAAAAAGAAGATCCAGATCCATAAGAGTAGTTATTATTTATCTATGGTTATAGTTATGTCAACTTAACAACCATAAATAGATACTCCTCAGACTTGTATATTATACTCCTACATAAAATAAATTATTTTTATTGTTATTGTTGGGGATTAAGGTCTGCTGATAAATTATTTAAATGGCTCAGTGCAATGAGCAATTATAGTAAAACTTTGTTATTATTGTGAATAATCTTATCAATATTGATTGACTGTTTTACACCTTGTTTTTATTGTTGTTTCAATCAATTGTATATATATATATATATATATATATATATATATATATATATATATATAACAAAACAACAATACAACAACACTAAAAACAACAATAAAAACAAGGTGTAAAACAGTCAATCAATATTGATAAGATTATTCACAATAATAACAAAGTTTTACTAATGCAATTACAACCAAGAATAATAAAACTGATGACTAATGTGAAGTTATAATGTTTTCGATCCAATAATAATGGGTTCATCCACTTCATTTTCATGGTTTTGTTTACAAAGGTACCTAATTACTGTTACCATAAATTTGACGAAGGATTGTATTAAAACGCAAGTTAGGAGAACTCCAAGCAATATCTTAAATTAAATGGATAATTGTTTTGTGATTTTAAAGAAAAATTAAATTATCAATTATTAAATTTAAGCTACATTTTTAATTAATCAATTATAATCTTTCATTTATGTAGTCTTATCGAAATTATGATTAAAATGGTGACTGGCAAATCTCATAAATAAAAAATTTTCAACTAATTCTTCATTTAAAAGAAAATTTTATCATTCGTAATATATTATCTTAATTTCCACAATTCTTTCTTTCCTCTTCCAAAAAGTCTATTTCTTGTTTTCTTTGACAAACATTGAATGCTTCTACTGTTTTTTGTGTGTGTTTCTTTACATTTTATTACCACTGCTAAATAGCAAAATCTTTTACAATGAAACTTTTTTAAACTTCTTTTTTAATTTAAATATTATATTTATATGGAATTTAGCCACAATTTTTTGTTTGTAATGAAACCAAACTAATGTCCCACCAAGGATGAAACAAGAATAATTTTTATTGGTTAATGGTTATAGGTTATAACAAGTTCAGAGATACGTAAGAGAGCTCTCTTCACATATCTCTGTAACAAGTTATATGATCGATCACAGAATTATGATATAAGATGTAATGACCATTTATCTGACCAATGAGGCAATAAGAGCATTACTTAATAAATGCCTATTGGAAGGACAAATACCGAAGACATGGAAAAATGCGGAAGTCATTCTACTCCATAAAAAAGGGGACGCCGCAAATATAGAAAACTACCGACCAATAAGCTTATTTTCACATCTTTACAAACTACTAACCCGAATAATAACAAATATATTGACAGCTAAACTAGATGCATACCAACCAGTGGAGCAAGCAGGCTTTCGTAAGGGTTTTAGCACTATCGATCACTTGCAAACAATTCGGACCATTATTGAAAAAACAATAGAGTACAACATACCACTACATCTGGCATTTGTCGATTATCACAAAGCATTCGACTGTATCGAGAAATGGGCTTTCTTAACAGCATTGGACGACGCCAGAGTAGATTCAAGATATGCTGCCCTCCTTAAGAATATATACGATGATGCTACTTTTCACGTAAAAATAGATGATGATCTGGAAACTATGAAAATGGACCTTGGCAAAGGTGTGAGACAGGGCGACACCATCTCACCCAAGTTATTTACTTTGGCATTAGAAAATGTTTTCAAACAACTAAATTGGGCTGAAAATGGATTAAAAATAGATGGAGAATATCTTAACCATTTGCGTTTTGCAGACGACAAGTACTAATAAGCACAGATATCCATGAACTAAAATCAATGCTACAAGATTTAAATCACAAATCGAATCAAATAGGATTAGAAATGAATCTCGACAAAACAAAGATATTAAGCAACAGCCTAGAAAACATCACGATAGATAACATCAATATAGAAAAGGTAGAATAATATATATATATATATATATATATATATATATATATTATATATATATATATATATATATATATATATATATATTTATTTATAGGACATGCAATTAAAAACGAAAAGGAAAATCATCAAACCCTAGAAATTAAAAGAAGGACACAATTATCATGGGCTGCTGTTGGTAAGTTGAGCTTCATTTTAAAAGACATAAAAATCCCAATTCACTTAAAACGAAAAACCTATGACACTTGTATACTACCAGTTGCAACTTATGGATTGGAAACTATGGCAATAACAAGAAAAATGGCAGAACAATTAAGAGTAACTCAACGGGCCATGGAGAGGGCCATGTTAAATATAAGCCTCAGAGACAAAATTCCTAACACCGAAATACGTCGAAGAACTAAAGTAACCGACATCATGGGAAAAATAGCGACATTGAGATGGCAATGGGTAGCACATGTAGCAAGACAAGACACCAACAGATGGTCTCATAAAGTGACATTATGGAGACCTCGAGAAACAAAAAGAAGCGTGGGAAGACCTAAAAAGAGATGGATAGACGATATAACTGCTGTAGCTGGAAAGTAGTGGATGAGAATTGCAAAAGATAGGGAAGCGTGGAAACAATTGGAGGAGGCCTATGTCCAACATTGGATAAATGAAGGCTGAAGAAGAAGAAGACCATTTATCTTCTTTTTTAATCGGTAAAGTATACAGGTTAGGTTAGAAGAAACAGAAATGTCAAAATCTTAAAATCATCTGCGTAATGGTGCATAGCGAATCTCGCATGGTAAAGGTAAAAATTTAAGGTGGGATCCCTAGACCCTAGTACTTTAGGTGCAGTGTCCGTATTCAAACGTTGGCCGTCTTCGTGTCTACAATTTTCCTGAAACCTTTATATATTTTCCGCTACGTGAAATAATTATTTTACTGTGGAACCCCACACAATCATTTTATAAATATCTTAATTGAAAGTGTGCTAAACCACGACATTTTTAGAATTTGGCGATCGCATCACAATTCGAGTATTTCCAATTTGTTTAGCATTGTGCTTCTTAATGTCTTAATGTCTATGGCTCACAACTCTATAATATGGTAGGCCACACATAATATTTTAGGACCTTCTTACGAATATGCATCGACAGGTTTCTGTTCATAAAACTGGTTTTCAGGTCATAAAGGCCTTACATGTGTAATCACACACAGCTAACCTATCACCTTCCGTGGGAAGTGAAATATACCACGTATACATCGCATTTCATCTGGTGGTTTCAGCCTACGATTACTCGGACAGCAGAAAAAAATTTGTTTAAGTGTGGTTCCACCGTGGAGCCACTAAGCCGCTAAGGGTGAACCAGCTGCCAAGGTATTTAATAGTTTACACGTTTTATATTCTGTTCATTAAGAAAAAGTAGATCTTGATCTATATTATTCTTTCCAACTGTCATCATATTTTTCTTACAAATATTTTAACGCCTCTTCGACAACTTCTTTCACTGACTAGATTTACTAATGGAGATCTTGCTAATTTTCTACAAGAACGACCATATCGTTAGCATATCTGCTATTATTTATTACTTCTACACTTAAACATAGTTCCTCTTTTCTGTCATCCAAAGCCGTCCTAAATATTTCTTCACAATATATCTTTAAAAGACTGGGTGACAAAACACAACCCCTGTCCCTATAATTTCGATGGCTACTTGATTTTAATATAAGTATTTTAGTGGTCTTTTGTTATGGTGGTCCAGTCCTGCTGCTTGTTGTCAGTCGAAAAGTGTATCGTGTTGTACTTGGTCGAATGTCTTCTCGAAGTCGATAAAGCAAACATAAACGTTCTTTTGAAACTCACAACTTATTTGTAAGAAAACGTATGTACAAAGTAGTGCCTCTTTAGCTCTTAGATAGTTATAGAAATGGAAAGACTGGATGTAAACATAATCAGCGACGTTACTTTGTAGCGGGGAAAGGGAAAGTCAGATAGATTTTGTGTTGTATAGAAGAATTCCGCTCAAAGAGGTTACCAACTGTAAAGTGATTAAGTGTGAGTATATAGCTAGTCAACACCAACCGCTGATAGTAAATACGGAGATGAAGGTGAAGTAAAAAGGAAAGAAAGTAGAACACCAGAAAGTCAACTGGTGGAAGTTAAAGGATAAGGATTTGGCAATATTCTTTACGAGTAAAGTGCTGGAAGAGCTCGAGGAAAAGATACAGCAAATGGCAGGTGGGAAGCCAACAGTAAACTTGTGGTGCGAGTGGAAGAGGAAGTGCTAGGGAAAACATCTGGTAAAGGGCCCGGTAGAGGCAAACAAACTTGGTGAAACAATGAAGTGCAACAGAAGGTTAAAGAGAAGAAAGAGGTACGACAGGTCTAAAAGGGAAGAAGATAAGGATATCTACAAGGTTGCAAAGAGGAAGCAAAGCGCATTGTAGCTAATTTTAAGGAAAGATTATCTGCACAGATGTATGGAGTGTTAGAAACACTCGAGAAGATAAAAAGGTTATACAGCATTGCTAAAGCATGGGACAAGTCATCAAAAGACTTGACCTACGTGCGGCAGATCTTTCTACATAAAAATATTCACAAGGTAACATAGACTGCACCTGGTCATACCAGAGAAAATCAAATGGACCACATCGCTATATCAAAAAGATGGAGATCATCTCTTCTTGATGTATGTAATCAAAGAGGAGCAGTCATCGCAAGTGACCATCACCTCGTCATTGGTACCATTAAAATCAAGATGGCAAAAAACAAAATCACGCGAAACACCAAGAGACCAACATACAATCTAGATAAACTAAAAACGGTCCCAGGTTGACATATGTTTAGAGAGGAACTTCAACTCAAAACAAGAGAACGTGAAATAAATAGCTGGGAAGATTTCGTAGATGTTTTGACATAAATAGCTGAAGACAAACTGGGTAAAAAAGAGAAAGATAGAAAGTAATGGATATCAGATGAAACATGGAATCTTATCGAGGAAAGAAAACAACAAAAAACAGATATCCTGCAAGCAAGAACTGTAGAAAAAACAGCACGTCGACAACAGGAATATCAAACAATAAATAAATCAGTTAAAAGAAATGCAAGAAGAGACAAAAGAAGGTGGGCCAAAGAAATGACAAAACAAGCAGAAACAGCTCCACAACACAACAGAACTAGGGAGCTTTACCAAATTACTAGACTGTAGTAATTACTTACTACAACAGATGACCAAGTAAAAGATGGAAAGAGCATTTTCAGGAGATGCTAGGTATTCCCAGAGATAACGCAGATGAAATTGTCGAAAACCCGCAGAATATAGACTGGCATATTTCTTGCGAGGCCCATTCCAAAACGGAGATAATAACAGCTATCAAATCTCTGAGAAAAAACAAGTCACCGGGAATCGATAACATTGCTGCTGAAATACTTAAAGCTGATCTGCATCTAACTGCTGAACTTTTGCTCCCCATAATCCGAGAGGTGTGGGAAACAAACCACATTCGAGCGGGCTGGAAAAAATGGAACATTAACAAGCTTCCAAAAAAAGGTAACTTCACATTGTGCAAAAATTGGAGAGGAATAACATTGCTTACTGTCATAAATACAATTTTCACGACCATCATACAGAAAAGATTAACAAACAAGGTTGAGTTTCGAGCTAATCAAGCAGGCTTTAGACCAGAATCCTCCTGCATAGACCACATTAATACTGTGAGAGTAGTAATGGAACAATCGGTTGAATGAAACACACCCCTATACATAGTTTTTGTTTATTTTGAACGTGCCTTTGACAGCTTGTCTCATGCTGCTATATGGAAAATTTTAGAGCTAAGAAACATCCCGCAAAAAATAATTTCTATTATAAAGTCACTATATACTGATGACAAATGCAGCGTGACATACAATGGGATCAATAGTGACGAATTCGATGTACTTACTAGCGTTAGACAGGGATGCGTGCTTTCTCCGTTTCTTTTTAACATAGCTATAGACTATGTTCTGTCCAAACTAGACTCCGACACAAGAGGGATACAATGGACGTTAACCACACGTCTAAGCGATCTAGAATACGCGGACGATATCTGCCTATTAGGTCAAAGGTTCCAAGATCTAGCTTATCAATTGGAAACACTTTCCACTGAAGCCAATAAAACAGGTTTGAAAATCAATATTAGTAAAACCAAGTCCATGAGAATAAATGCAAGGAACAACACGCTATTTACTATCGACAATATGCAGATTGAAAATGTAGAAAACTTTACTTATCTTAGAAGTATCATAACAGAAAACGGAGGTACAGAAGACGATATTCGTATGAGGATACGAACAAGCTTTCAGCACGCTCAACCCTGTTTGGAGATCTAGCGAGTATACTACAAGGATAAAGATCCGAATATTCTGATCAAATGTCATGTCAGTTCTACTCTACGGATGTGAAACCTGGAAAGTGTCAAACACCCTCACAGACAAACTGCAGGTCTTTATTAAAAAATGTCTACAAAGAATTGTCCGTATATTCTAGCCTAACACCATCAGAAACGAAGATCTGCTACACCTGACCGAACAAAAGAGGGTACAAAATGAAATTAAGTCCAGAAAGTGGGGTTGGATTGGTCACACAATCCGAAAAAATAGTTCCAGTATCGCAAAGACTGTCCTAGAGTGGAATCCCCAAGGGAAAAGAAAAAGAGGTCGCCCAGTACAAACTTGGAGGTTGGAGAAGATCCATCATGGACGAGATAAGAGGCCAAGAAAAGTCTTGGAATGAGATGAAGGCCTTAGCGCAAAATAGAACCCTATGGCGCGTTTTCACTGAAGCTCTATGCTCCACTTAGGAGTTCAAGATACGTGCGGCAGATTAGTAGTGCAAATGGAAGTGTTAGCAAAGATAGTATGAGTACTTTGCAAAGTTGCTAAATGAAGATCACTAGAAAAGAGACAGAGGAAAAATGTAATACCGGGAATAGCGAGAGATGAATATTTCGATGCCGTTAATAGGAGAAAGGGCGGTAAGGCAGTAAGACCTGATGGAATAACTGTGGAGGTTAGTACAGCTCTTGGAGGGAAAGGGGTTGATATTTTGTGAAAAACGATAAGTAAAATATATGAGTAAGAAAGGATTCTCAATGCATGGAGAGAGAGTGCGATGATATTATTTTATAAAGGTAAAGGGGACATTCACGACTGTTAGAATTATGGAGGGATAAAGTTAATGTCTTATGCAATGAAAATTTGGGAGAAAAGAGAAGCGTCCTAGGTTTAAAGCAAATAGACGTAGAGGTAGAATTTCTAACAAAATGGAGCGATGACGTTAAGAGAGCAAGTTTGTGTCACGCAACACAGGGTGCGTAATGATAATGATGAAGATGTATTGTGCCAACGAGAAGATTGTTGCCTGACTTAATGTCAGCTCCAAGAAATGATTTTACTGATCGCATAGAACTTATCAATGTTTTGGTAATTAGAACAATAAAACCTATTTGATTTCTGCCGTTGTATTCACGGTTATATTTTGGCGATTTATATACGGTACGTATCTTATACACCATTAGTAATCATACTGTCGTGCTTACCTCCAACCACTACAATAAGATTAACTTTGTAGCTTAAAGTACGAAATCCATCTCTGTGGAGCTTTGTTTGATCGTCAATCACTATCAATTGTAGTCAGTTAATGGAGGAATATTTGTCATTCTATCTCCCAAGATATGTTACCACAACAAAGCAGTATTAACAGATCAAAAATTTTTAAAGGAGAATAGAAAGAAACAGTTTAGAAACAAATTTATACCAGAAATATCAAATATCACTTACCTTATTGTTGTTAACATCACTAGGTTCTTCTATTGTAATACCTATGTTTGACTGAATGTTAAAATCAAATAATTCTGGTTCGACTATATCATAAACGTCTCGTTTGGTCTTAGCAATGTTTTTGTTTTCTTCTTGTTCTTTTCGATATATCAACACACCAGGTACCATATCTTGTTCTTTGTATAATTTAGACGGTAGTGCTGAATAATTTACCGTCAAGTTTTTATTCGTAATGGACTCTACTGGAAAAATTCTTATATATAGAACAAGTGTAAAAATGACAACAATTTGTTGTCAAATGTAATGTGAAAATCCCCATACTTCATTTCAAATTATTGATAGCACATTAGTGATGATGCAGCTGATAATGTCCAACGTAATTTCATAACTCAGTGATGAAGAATTTTAAGAAAATTATTTGAAAATTACATTGTTTTCAATGTTGCAGTAATTTTATTATACCGTTATTGTGGCTACTATATAAACTGCTCAGTTTTAAAACTGACTTTTGCTTCTCATATTGAAGAAATATTCCGACCGCACTAACATGATGATGATATACTTAAAGAAAGAAAATAAAGAAAAACAACTTCTAAGAAACGCATTGGTTAAGCTAACTTAGGTTAGTAATGCAGAAATTAGGTTAAAATATAATTTGTTACATGAGAAGTTCCAGAAATAGTTATCATACTGAAACCAGATATACCTCCGCAGAAAACAAAAGATTAATATCTAGCAATATCCAAATTATTTGAGGAACAATTATAGAAAAAATCTGATTCCAAACCACCAGTTTTAATTTAGACACAAATCCTTTAAAACTGACCAACTACTTAAAGTCACATACAGCTTTGAAGAGGCTTTGGAGAAAACAAGTATGGTCAGTAGTACTTCTGGATATACGGCAGGCATTCGATAGTCAGGCACACAGGGCTTTGCCGTAAAATACTATTCTCCCTAAACAATTTACTGACATTATCAAATCTTGTGTAAGCCAAGCCCGGATAAAGGAGGAGGGTTTGCGTCAGGAAGGCATTCGGCAGTAAAAACCTTGGAAAAACCAAGGAAAGAAGGAATAAGTATGGAAAAGAGTTTTGGGGCTAGGGTGTTCCCCGTAAGCGACGTGCAGTTTAAGAGTTGCAACTCTAACGTCGGAATCATGACAGGTAAAGGAAGAGAGCACGCATGCCGATTTCATAGAGAGAAGAAGGATTGGTGTACTTTGTGTACAGGAAACTCGTTAGAAAGGTAATAAGTCGAGAGATCTTGGACAAAGATGCAAGTAAATATACATATAGTAGTTCGAACAGTCACGACATAAACGGAGTAGGTATTATTTTGAATAAGGAATGGAAGGAACATATGGAAGGGTAACCAGAAGAAGTCGATACATTTTTGGCAAAGTAACGTAAGTGACATTTTTGGCGAAAATCATCTTTTTCAATTAAACTAACACTATTATCGTTAAAAAGGTACTGCCAAAGTGTAGTAAGCCTAGAATTAATATAAACCTTTGTTAGGACCAGTAGGACAAGTTTTTTCAGTCATAATTTAAATAAGTTTAACCAGGTTGAATTAAAAAATTGTTCTTTCTACAAATAGTTTTTGGTGACTTACGTTATTTTGCCAAAAATGTATCGAAGTTATAAAATAATGAGTGTTCAAGAGAATACAGGCAATATGAACGTGAACATCGTATGTGACTGCGCCCCACAGGTAGGGGTGAAGAACAAGAAAAGAAAGAATTTTGGAGGGCCCTTGATTGCGGGATTTTTGAGATTCCTGTAAACGAAAAGTGCTTTATTAAAGGTGATTTGAATGAACATATTGATAAAGAAAGTGTGGAAATAGAAAGAGTTAATAAAAGTTTCGGGATGAAAATAAGAAATGATAAAGAAAATGGTGTGGTTAACTGTGCAGTTGCATGGGATTTGGCTGTCATTAATACGTTCCTTATAAAGGCTGAATACTAGTATGTTAGTAGAAGGTGAATGAAAAGTCAGATATAGTTTGTGCTGTTTAGAAGAAGTCAGCTAAAAGCGGTTACCAACTGTAAAGTGATAAAAGACGAGAATGTAGCCAGTCAATACCGAGCGGGGATAGTGGATACGGAAATAATTGTGGGGCAGAAACAAAAGCAAGTAAGACACCAGAAAGCAAATAAATATAAGTTAAAGGATAAGAATTTGGTAATAGTATTTAAGTGTAGAGTGCTTGAAGAGCTTAAGTAAAAAGATATGGTAAATAACTGGTGGAAAGTCAACAATAAATTTGTGTTGAGGGTAGAAGAGAAAGGGCTAAGAAAAACATCTAGTAAAGTGCCTTTTAGAAACAAAGACTCTTGGTAATGGAATGATGAAGTGCAAAAGAATATAATATAGAAAAGAAAGAGGCTAGAAAGGGGTATCACAGGTCTAAAAAAGAGAAAGATAAGGATATATACAAGATAGCAAAGACGTAAGCAAAGTATGAGTAGCTACTCCTAAGGAAATATCGTCTGCACAGCTATATGAAGAGTTGTAAATACCCAAAATGTGATAAAAAACATACAGCATTACCAAAGCAAGGAAAAATTTATCAAAAGACTTCCACGTTCGGCAGATTAAGAGTGCAGATAGAATAGTGCTATGAACCGATGTTGAAATAAAGCACAGATGGTATGAGTACTTTATACGGGATCCCATATAAAAATTTAATACCGGGGATAACAAAGGATGAAGTGATCGATGTGTTAAATAGGATAAAGAATGGTAAGGCAGTAGGAACTGATGGAATTCCTGTGGAGGTTTGAAAGGCTATAGAAGAATAAGAGGTTGATATTTTGTGACAAATAATGACTAGGGTATATGAAGAAAAGAGGATGCATAATGCGTAGAGAGAGTGTGATGGTATTATTGTATAAATATAAAGGGGACATATAGGATTGTAAGAACTATAGAGGATTAAAGTTAATGTCGCACAAAATGAAAATTCGGGAGAGAACTGTACCGCGAAGGTTAAGGAAAGAGGCATCGATAGACGAAAAACAGTTTGGGTTTATGCCAGGAAGGAGGATAACGGATATCTTGTTTGCTTTGAGAGAGTTGATCCTTTACGGGATTGCTCGAAAATTTTCTAGGGATTGATGGTTTGTACTAAGGTTCTTCACTGAGTCCTTATTTAATCTTGTTAAAGCACTTACAAAACAGACAAAAAAAGTTATAAAGAAGTAACAAATAAACAACCTGAAATATCACTTTCCAATGTAGCAGCAGCAGTTCACGAAGCACAAGCTGCAAATTTATGCTCAAATATAATTAAACTGAGTGACAAACATATTCTTGGTCCTGAAAATGACAACAGTACAAATAAACCAAAAACATTTAGAAAACCAAAAAATGTTTTAATAGGCACTAATAACTCCAAAACAAATGGGCTGAAGGCGGCTGTAAAGAAAACGATGAAGTACTATCATACAACCAACTGGTCTCCTGATACATCTTTGGAAGAACTAACAAATCGTCTGAAGACTATTGATGAAAATATTGAGGTTAACCAATTAAACTCGAGATATCCAAGAAGTTATGCTTCATTTAAAATTGCAGTTCCTGAGGCATCATCTCAAAGACTTTTAAATTGTGAACTATGGCCTGAGGGTATATATATATATATATATATATATATATATATATATATATATATATATATATTAATGAATTTTTTCGTTCCTTTATGTATAAACAATATCTATAATAACTACAGTATTACTGTAGAAACGTGCTCTGTGTTTCACTTAAATGTACAAAGTATCACTAATAAGGTAGATGAATTAAATGCATTTTTTAAAGATAATAAGTATGACATTTTTTGTGTTTCGGAACACTGGTTAAATTTTGATAATTTACAAAGAATAAACTTGGACAATTTTCAACTTGTCACTTCATATTGTAGAGAAAGCAGACTACATGGAGGTGTAGCTATCTATGGTTCTAAACATATTCAACTTGAGCCTGTTGATTTAAACAAATTTTGTGATCCATTGAATGCTGAATTCTGTGGTGTTGAAATTAAAAATAATCGTTTTCTGATAATTGCACTTTATCGATCCTGTAATGGGGATATTACTGTTTTCAAAGCTAAGTTATACGCTTTAATTGATTTCGCCTTTAAAAAATATGAAAATATAATGATACTTGGTGACATTATCATAAATATGGAAGTAAACACAGGGCATGTTTGTGAAATACGAAATTTCTTAACCATGTACGGTTTAAAACATTTCATAAAAGCGCCCACAAGAGTGTCACTTACTTCAAGCTCTTGCCTTGATAATATATTTACTAATATTAATGAACAAAATTTAAATACAGGTGTCTACGATCCTGTAATATCTGACCATTTGGGTATATTTGCTATTGTGAGTGGTTTAAAAAATGTGTCTACAATTATAGAAAAGACTAAAAAAAGATTAGTTAATGAAAAAAATATTAAGAATTTTGTGGAAAAAATTAACTCCAAAGATTGGACTGTGTTTGACGATATCCAATGTAATTCAAACAACATGACAGAGTTGTTTATGAAATATATGTGTGAAGAATACAACATTTGTTTTCCTTTAAAAAACATGAATAGCAGAAAAAGTGCTATTCATTGGTTTAATCAGAAACTTCGAGATTTAAGAAAACAACTCTACAATTGTAAAGCAACATATAGAAAAACACATACTATTGACAATTGGATTAAATATTGTCAAATACGAAAAAAATATAAGCAAGCAATAAAAGGTGAAAAACGTACTGCTTATGCTAACATAATTAACAAATCCACCAACAAAAGTAAGACAATATGGAGTATTGTTAAAAAAGAAACCTATAAGGAACATACTACGTCTAATCTGAACTTAACACCAGAAGAAATTAACCAATACTTTACGAATATAGCAGATATATCGAAATGAATAGGAGACTCTGAGCATGACATAAACTACTATCTTAGCAGGCTACCTAGAAGGTCAAGTTCGTTCTTTATGTCTCCAATAGTAGCATCTGATGTGAAAGAATGCATATACAAATTAAAAAATTCCTCATGTGTTGACTACTATGGTTTTAACAGTAAAATTATTAAGGAATCGCTTGATACAATTGTTGAACCACTCACAATAATATTTAACAAATGCATTAACGAGGGTTACTGGTCTGATGTATTCAAAATATCAAAAGTAATTCCACTTCATAAAAAAGGAAATAAAAATGCTCCTGACAATTACAGACCTATTACCATAGTACCAACAATAAGTAAAATTTTTGAAATTTTAATTAAAGATCGTATATCAAATTATTTTTATAACAAATCAATTATATCTAGCTCTCAATTTGGTTTTAGAAAAAAATACTCAACAACTAAAGCTTTATTAGAAGTAATAGAACATATTGTTCACGGTTTTGATGCAGGTGAACCTACTAATGGCTTAATGTGTGACCTTACAAAAGCTTTTGATTGTGTAGATATTCAAACACTATTGATAAAATTGGAGTACTATGGAATAAGGGACACCATATATGACCTTTTAAAATCCTATCTTACAGGAAGAACACAGATTGTTGCATTTAATAATCCAGAATCTGATCCTTTACCAGTTTCAACCGGAGTACCACAAGGATCAGTTTTGGGTCCTCTACTATTCTTGATATATATAAATGATTTACCAAGTGCATTGGATAACACCAACTGTGTTCTTTTTGCAGATGACACAACCTTATTATGTAGAGGTAAAACTGATTACAGTCAGGATATATTAAAAAAATCTAAATCCTGGTTTAACTGTAACAAACTTAAGTTAAACGAGCAGAAAACCCAGAAATCGTATTTAGTTCTGATAGATGGGTTACACCATCTGAACCAGTAAAGTTACTAGGTGTTACTATGGATACAAGGTTGAACTGATCGCACCATATTGAACGATTGTGTAGGGGGCTCGCCTCACAGATTTTTGCTATGCGCAGATTGGCTACTTCTGTGAGTCGAGATATTCTTAGGTTAGTTTATTTTGGAATGGTTCATAGTATCCTGACATATTGCATACTTCTTTGGGGAAACTCGTCCTATGCATATAAAGTTTTCACTTTTCAAAAAGCAGCAATCCGAATTATTGACTCGGCAGAATATCGCGCCAGCTGTAAACCCTTATTTAAGAAGTATGGCATTCTTCCTTTACCTTCAATATATATATTTGAAACTTTGTTAGCTATTCATAATAATATAAAAGATGTAAAATCACATGCTGATCAACATCATTACAATACAAGAAATAAAAGTCATATCATTATACCATATTCCAGATTGTGTGTTACACAACTTAATACAATAGATTATAATCTGTATAATTGTTTTTTAAACTTAAACAAAAATATTGATATTAAGGCAATGAATTCTAAACAATTTTATAAACTTACAAAACACTTCCTGCTGGAACACTGTTTTTATAGTATACAGGAATTTGTTTGTTTGAGCTCCTAGTGTGGTCGTTTTTAATGAAAACTATATTACGCCTTACTGAAATGTTTCTTTCTTATTTGTTATAATTTTATATATCTAATTTTCACTGTATATGTTTTATTATATGTTCTTGTATTATTTCTTAGTTCTTAGTATACAATAGTAAATTATTTTTATTGTGACATGTAGTGTTTACTATGTAAAAATTGTCAATAAACCTATCTATCTATCTATGGATGTACTGCCAGAGAAAGTAAGGGAGGGCTATATTTTAAGCTAATTCTATATCACATTACTGCATTTACCTACGTTACTTACTTTAAGATATACTTTACCTGTAGTAAAAATTACATAATCACTTTTGGTACCATTATTTGAAAAATCACCATTACTGCTACTGTATATCGCACCACTGTTTCCATTTTTTAACGTAGTAGTATTTATAGTAGTACTTTCCATACTATCAAACATTACAGTACTATTCCCAGTTGTATTATCAGTTTGGTTGGAAACAGTTAAATTTAAACTGGTAGTAGTGCCTTCCACTAAGTTTTTATTATCTGATCTTGTTTCAACGTCCAGCGATGTGTCATATTTACCGTTCACAGTTATACACGCATTAGTACTGTAATTGGTAGTAGAATTTGATTCATTAGTAAAATTGTTACTAGTAGCATTTTGAATACTAGTAAATTCTATATTTTGTGTAAAATTATTAGTTCCATTGTTACTAGCTTCGGTAACAGGATTGATATTGATCATTTTAGTACCGTTAGGACTACTGCCAGACAAAGCAATGCTATTATTGTTAATAAAGCTTTCAGATATGGCACCTACGGTGGTAATGCTCCCATTGCTAGTAATACACAGATTATCACTTACATTTACAGCTACAGCAAGTTCTACTTTTATACTACTACCAATTGAGCGTGTACTTTCATTAATAAAGCTGTATTGTGTAGTATTTTCAGCCAATGATTTCTTTAAGGAACTAAAATTATCGTTAGTGATACCACCTTTGATTAAAGTTTCTTTTAACAAGTTTACTGGACCTACGGTTTGGTTTTTGTTTTCAAAAACTGTAGCATTTATGGTTGTGCTGTTCATAAGGTCTATACTATAATTATTTGTACAATTTTGTTCTAGGCTTTCAATAATTGAGCTTTCATTATTTAAAACTGTAGTACTATAGCTGTCAGAATAAAGATCGATGTCTGTAACAGTCTTATATACATTAGTACCATTATTCTTAGACTGAAGTGCTTTATTATTATTGGACTGTAAAATGGATAAATTTGTTGTATTTTGTGCAGGTTTTATAAAATTGTTTTCAGTAGTTTCTGCAACAGCTTGCTCAGTTTGGCAAGTTTCGTTCGCAATAAAATTTCTAAGTGTAGTGAATTGGCACGTAGCTGTAGCATTATATAGGATATTTGTATCATTTAAAGCGAAAGTAATTGGTACTTCTCCAGCATCTGTTGAATATTCTACTTCATAATTTTTTGACCTCAATGCTTTATCTGTTTGAATAGGTTCTAAAACTATTTCACTAATGTTCTTTTTCTTTCTATTAGAATTTTGACTGCTGGTAATGCTATTAGGAGTTGTGTTATTTATCTTAAGAGTTACACCCTAAAACAAACAAAAAAAACATGTTTTTTTAAGATACAGTGTGACCCATTCAGATTGGCAACACCTCTATAACATTTTTAGTCGGTAACCGATGTTAACCAATTTTGTTTTTCAAATGTAGCATAATAAAAGATCTGATTCGGAAAATAATTTTAAATGTTTATTTAAATTTTAAGAGCATGCTACGACATATTTTTACAATCGAAAATAGAATTTTCATTAGTGATTTTTTGTTAAAAAATGCTGAAGTACTGAAGTACTAACACTTACTTACTTACTTACTTACTCCGTGGGGTTACAACCCTTCGTGGGTTTTAGCCGACTCGACAACATGCCTCCACTGTTTTCTGTCTTGAGCAACCTCCATCCAATTCTCCACGCCCATAGTGCTTAGGTCTCCTGCTATATTATCTCGCCACCGGAGACGAGGGCGTCCGCGTGGTCTCCTTCCAGTTGGGACTTCCTCCCACACCAGTCTTACTGTTCGTTCGTCAGAATGTCTTCTGAGGTGTCCTGTCCATTGGAGTCTTCTAGACTTTATTTCTTTTATGATGTTGGCGTCTGGGTAAAGTACTTCAAGCTCTTTATTAGTTATTATCCTATATTGTCCTGATGCTTCATCAAGCACCGGACCAAAGATCTTCCTTAGGATTTTTCTTTCCCAAACACGTAGTCTCTCTTCATTTGCCTTTGTTATCGTCCACGTTTCGCTTCCATACATCACAACGGGTCGTATGATTGTTTTATAGACCTGTATATTCGTTCGTCGTGTTAGTTGTTTTGATTTTATAAGGTTTTGGAGGGCAAAAATACATCTGTTGCCGGCCTGAATCCTGTTGTTTATTTCTTGTGATCCGTTATTGTCTTCAGTTATTGTTGTTCCAAGATACTTGAATTCTCCAACTCGCTCAAAGTTAAAGTCATCGATGGTAATGTTCTGACCGATTCTGTCTCTGCTTTGGTTATTGCGGCTCATATACATATATTTCGTCTTGTTTTCGTTGATTCGGAGCCCCATCTTCTCTGCTTCCTTCTCAAACCTTACGAAAGTCTCCTTCATCCTTAATCGCGTGTTTCCTATTAGATCTATATCGTCTACAAATGCCAGTAGTAAGTTTGGCCCTTCTCGATGAAATATTGTATTCGGTTTTTCGATTCTTGCACTTCTGATTATGTGCTCCAGAGCTAAGTTGAAGAGTTGTGGTGAAAGTGCATCTCCCTGTTTTAGTCCATTGTTTATTTCAAATGTCTCCGAGTATTGTTGTCCAACTCTCACCTTACATCGTAACCGTTCCATACACATCCGTATCAACCGGACTAGTTTTTTTGGAAAGCCAAGTTCCTGCATCGCTGTCCACAGTCTGTCCCTACATACTCCATCAAATGCTTGTTTAAAATCTATGAACATCTGATGAAGCTCACGATCAAACTCCCAGCTCACGATCAATTGTAGAGCGGCCCGGTCTAAATCCGCATTGATAATCTCCAACGATTTCTTCTGTGTATGTTTTGGTTCTTTCTAGCAGGATGTTTGCAAGGATTTTGTAGGTGGTGTTTAGGAGTGTTATTCCCCCGTAGTTAATACATTGCTTTTTGTTTCCTTTTTTGTGTATTGGTACAATAACCCCTTCTTTCTATTCATCTGACATTGTTTCTTCTTGCCAAATGTCTTGAATTAGCTTGTATATCGAACTGTACAACGCTTCTCCTCCATGTTTTAAGCACTCTGCGGGTATACCATCGCTACCTGGTGTCTTATTATTTTTGAATTTTTTAATTGCCTGTATTACTTCTTCGTATGTCGGGTATTGATCTTCTATTTCAGCTGTATGTACCTCTATGTTTGATGTACTTCTGCTAGATTGGTCATTCAATAGTTGATAGAAGTATTCCTTCCAGGTTTTTAAGATTTCCTTGTCATCAGTGATAAGTTGTCCACTGTCGTTTTGAAGAAAGTTTCCTGTTCTTGCTTGGTACCCGGTCTTGATATCTGAAACTCCTTGAAAGAACTGCCTCGCTTGTTTGTTCTTTCTTTTTTCTTCTATTTCTCTGATTATTTGTTCCTGATACTCTCTCTTCTTCCTTTTCATTAGTTTTCTTGTCTCTGTTCTTCTTTGTCTATACATTTCATTGTTGTTGTGCGAGGGGTTTTGTAGCATGTTCCTTCTAGCCATATTTCTTGCTAATATGGAGTTCAGGCAATCATCATCGAACCATTTTTTTGTTGTTTTCTTTTTGTCCTAGTATTTCATCTGATACGCTTGTCAGAGCTACTTTGATATTTTTCCAAGCTGAGTCTATTTTGTTATAGTCTTCTGTCTGTTCTAGAGCGATTTTTATAGCCTTTTGAAATTTCTATTCTATCTCCTTATTACGTAGAACTTCGGTATTCCATAATTGTGTTGGTGTATTTTTGTGTGTTTTTTTGGACGCTATTCTTATCCTTATCTTCGCTTTTACAAGAAAATGATCCGTGTCTCCATCAGCTCCTCTTAGGCTTCTTACGTCCAGACAGTTACTACCCCTCCTGGCATCTACTAGAACATGATCAATCTGATTTCTTGTGACGCCGTCGTTGGAGTCCCATGTTTGTTTGTGTATATTCTTGTGTTCAAACATTGTCGATTTTATTAGTAGATTGTGGGATGCTGCAAAGTCTATTAGCCTTGTTCCATTATCGTTGCTAACATCGTGAAGACTATGGTTACCTATTGTTGGTTTGTACGCTGCTTCCTTCCCAATCTTTGAATTGAAATCTCCTAAGATAATATGCATATCCTGTTTAGGTAAATTATTTATCAGTTCCTCTAGTTTCTCGTAGAAGTTATCTTTTACATGCTCTTCCTTTTCCTCTGTCGGTGCATGGGCAGCAACTAGGGAATAGTTGGGTAGTTGTTCTTTGATTCTGATATAACAAAGTCTTTCATTAACGGGTTTGAAAGTTAAAACTGACCCCACAAGACTTTCCCTGACTATAAAACCAGTTCCGAATTGATGTTCTCGTTCGCTTCCGCTGAAAAATACTACTGATTTATTAGTTTTTAGTGTACCTTCTCCAGTCCATCTAATCTCTTGTAAAGCAGTTATGTCCATGTTTCTGGATTCAAGTTCTTTGACCACCTGAGTTAGGGCTCCAGGCCGATATAGGCTTAGTACGTTCCAGGTTCCTATATTCATTGTCCTTTGTCGTCGCTTTTGTCGTCTTAAAAGATCCGTCCTTATCCGAGGCATGTGCTTCGTTTTCATAACTATGTTTTTTTACAAGAAGGAATAGTTAGTCCCTTGCTTAACCCTCCTCCTTTCTCATCCTGGACTTGGGACCAGGCAACGGCGAAGTACTAACACACTAAATTATAATCCCTACCACACCGTCTCAGAGACGTCTCGTTTTTTTCGTCCTAAAATGTATTATTGTTTAATATATTATAATCAAAACTACGCAAAAACAGTATCTAATAGGTTTTTGTAAAAAAATATTTAAAGAAATTACAGTAATCCAATAAATCTTGACATTGTTTTATTCGATAATGATCTTGTAAAAAAGATTTGTAAAGGAAAAAAGCGTTCATTACTCTAATAAGGATATATAATTATAAACATCAAGAGAAAAAAAAACTCATTATTAAAAAAATTACAAGGCCTGAAATTGACCTGTGCTAGATGACAAGCCTCCTGGGGTAGCGATGTGCACCCTACTGGCAACCCGCTACTGCTTAGACATGCTTCATTTTGTAGTCACTCCTGAGGTGTTTAAGGAATCCAATACCACTTTCCACTTCAAGTTCAACATGTTTGACCGTGCCGGTCTCAGCTTCTGTAGAGGACGCTGAACTGAGTAGGGGTCCTTCAGTACTTTGTGCAAGACAGACTGGGCGGGAATAAAGCTTCAATAAATAAGTACCTGCGGATCGATTGATGGCATGACACAGGTTAGCAGCTGTGTCATTAGTGGACCGTGACTGAGGAATACAATTCATGACAGGTGCGGTACCACAAAGTCGCAGACGAAAATCAAGTACTAAATAAGATTTTATAAAAATGAGTTTAAAATTAAATGTTTTTAAAACCAAGATACAAATTTGAAGTTTTCTACTTCTGTATAAGTCTTTTAATACTATTTTGTGTCAGGGCTGCAAAAAACAGTTTGACAGAAAACATTGAAACTAAACGTCTTTTGAAGATAATTATAGAAGCCCCAGAGAAGTTTGTAGAAGATTTAATGTCAGAGACGATTGTAGTGATCTAGCGAATTAGCGTCACTAGTCTCTCCAGGATTGGGCAAAAGGATAGCTACCTTCTACTAGAAAATAAAAACGATGAGTGGATATTTAAGGAATAAATTGGACTGAATCGACTTAAGAATCTGAGGTATGACAAACGAAATATTGAAGAATCCTGGAATAGGTCAAGATCCAAAAAGGGTTGTTGAGCCAGTGATGATGATGATGAGACATGTCGATTGTTCTAATATTTGTTGCGGTACGGCAAATAAAACAAATAGAACATTTAATAAATATGTTGCAGTATAAAACAAATTTAAAAAAAAAATTGCCCTTTATAAAAAAGAAGAGGCCGTGAAAGTCCATTGATAGATTGGCTACCCAGATATGCAGATCTCACAAAATTAGACTTCTTTCTTTAGGGAAGTATCAAACAGAATGTTACCAAACCCACCTAAGAAACGTATCGACAAACTTGATTCGTCTATTTCGTTAAAAATTGGTTAACAACTTTGAATTTTATAGAGATGTTTCAAATCTAAATGGGTAACACTGTAGAAAAAGACAAAGATATGTTTACCTTAGTATATGTACCATTTTGCGACAAATCAGTAGATGTTTCGTCATATTGTTCCACAACAGCATCTTCCTCAGGTATTCCCAATTCCAATGGGTTTTGCTCCGGTTCAGGAATAACTAATTCAGTATCATTCATCCCACTGCTTGGTTGCAATGTATTATCCTATAAAATATTACAAAATGAGTATAAAAAATATTTTTGTAGAAAATTTCTTAGTAGAATGCCAAGCCCGATTCAGGAAAAATAAATCGATAATAGATTAGATTTTTACCGTAAGACAACTACTTGAAAAATGATGAAAGTGCAATACTAATTAATAATGTACTACTAGACTAATTATAATCTATTCATAGACTTCTTACAAGCATATGACTGTATTAAAAGAGATCAGACGTGGAATGCAACGGCAGCAGAATGCAATAATGCAACTATTAATTCCAAATTAAACCTGATCTAGCTTGTTAAAATATGTGTACGTAGTTGTAAATCCACGGCACGGATTGGTAACCAATTGTCAGAATCGTTTGAAATAGACATTGGCCTAATACAAGTAAACGCACTGTCACCTTTCTTCTTTAATCACCTTTGTCACCTTTTAAAGAAAAGCACAAACTAGAATAGAATTATTGACAAGAAATGAACCAAAATTACTAATGTCATACGCGGACGACATATTTTATTGGAAACACCGTCGCCACTGTAAAGAAAACTTTCTACATAATCGAGATAAAAGCAGGAAACCGATCTAATGGTCAATAAAGAGAACACTAAATATATATGCAATAATAGACGAAAGAGACGAGATATAATGGGGCAAAATGTAACAATAGACCCATATAACTTTGAGAAAGTCTTCTTATGGCTATTTTTATTTTAGAACTTGCTGCTCTAAACAAATCAATCGATCTGCATTGATATCAATTACGTAGATTCTTTAACTATGAGTTCTGTCTTCGACCAACAGATCTTATTCTTTAAATCTTTCCCTGTATTATGAGTCTCAAAATTTCATATTTTGGTCCCCTCATCACGTAGCTTAGGTATTCCAGTTTTCTGTTTTGTATAGTGGTGATTAGTTCTGTTTCTTTACCAACCCTCTCCAGTACTTCTTTATTTGTAATTCTATCAGTCCATGATATGGAGAAAGTGAAACGTTTTAAACGTCCCTGGAGCGACAATCATCATAGATAACCGTATCACTTCTTCTTTCTCTTTGTAAGCAATTCTGCTTGTTCGTTGGCGGATAACTCTATGGAAGGTTGTCACTCCATCTTTTGCGCAGTCGTCCGATACTTCTTTTATTCCATTATTTTTTTGTGTAGTACCCATTTGTTTATAGAGTGGACGTTACATTTTCTTATAATGTCTTCACTTCTCTTTAGATTTCTCAGCAATATAAATAAAACTCAGAAGTTTTGAGGAAAAAATTTTCAGAAGGGTCTTCAAACCTTTGAAGGATTACGATCGGAATATTAACCAATACTGAATGATAACAAATACCTAGATCAATTAGAAGAAGGTACCGACAGAGGGAAGGTACCTAGGACGGTCACGAAAGCGGACTGCCCATGAATACAACTATTATAGACAACTATGAAAGATGTTCAGGGGATAAAGGGGTAGAATGCGAATATATGGAGTTGATTCCAGTTTACTCCAATTTGCCTCTTCTACTCAAACCCGACTCTCACCTTCACGATGGTATCCCCTGTTAACCGAGCAACCCAGCTAAAGATCCGGTACCCAACCCCGGGTGGAAAGCTGGTTCGGGAACTGACGAGAGCGGGTGAAATGGCCCTCCGAAAAGGGGGTTTGGCGTTGGGTTAACTGCCCAACCCTGTAAAAACCCATAGTTACGAAATCTAAAGTTAAAAATGCTGGACGGAAATCTCGACGACGACCTATGCAACGAAATAAGGACAACGATCTTAAAAGTATTTATCTGGAATGTTCGCACACTCAACTAACCTGGAAACATCCGAAAACTGTGTGACATATTAGCACAATATAACGCTGACATTACTGCAATACAAGAAGTATGATGGATAGGCCATGGCATAATCGAAAAAACAAAAAAAAAATATATACTACAATTGCCATAGAACTAGACATGAATTTGGGACAGCCTTTATAGTCAGTAATAAAGTCAAGCATTTGGTTATAGATTTCAAGCCAATAAATCCACGAATGAGCTGCTTAAGGATCATGGGTAAGTTTTTTAATATTAGTCTTATTAATGTACAATGTACATGCCCCAACAGAGGACAAAGAAGACAAAGAAAAAGACAATTTCTATGAGGAATTAGAAAGAACATATGACAGTTGTCCCAGAAATGACATTAAAATAGTAATCGGTGATCTGAACGCAAAAATCGGAAGGGAAGAAATATATCTACTGCACATCGGTAGATATAGTCTCCATAATGATACAAATTCGAATGGACACCGAGCAGTGACCTTCGCAGCCGCAAAGAACATGATCGTAGGAAGCACATGTTTTCTACACAAAAAAATACATATGTGGACTTGGACCTCACCTGATGGACTAACGAACAACCAACAAACCTAATGGATGTCCGCACCTATCGAGGCGCCAATATTGATTCAGATCACTTTCTAGGTGGCACACGAATTCGAGCTAGAATCTCAAATGCGAAGAAGGAGAGAAGTATCAAAACAACGCGTCTCAATATTGAAATCCTCAAAAATCCGCAAACAGTAGAAAGGTTTCAAAATTATATCGAAACTAAACACATAATTCATGAGGACCTAACAATTAGTGAACAATGGGAAATGTGTAAAAATAATATTAAAGAGGCAGCAAATAATATTCTAGGGCCAGAAAGACCACCACCACGTAATGACTGGTTTGATGCTGAGTGTGAGGACATTACAAGAAGAAAGAACGATGCATATAAACTGATGCAGCAAAGAAGAACATGAGAAAAACAGCAAAAATATAAAGATCTCAGAAAAGAAGAGACGTGCATTTATAGAAGGAAAAAGCAAACTCACGAAAATAGAATATCGGAAGAACTTGAGGTATTAAAAAAGGAAAACCAAACAAGAAAATTCTACTAAACTCTGAATAACGCAAGAAAGGAATTCATAGCAAGGCTCAGACTATGTAAGGTTAAGGAGGGGCATATACTAAATACAAAAGAAGAAGTATTAAAAAGGTGGGTGGAACACTTTAAAGAACTACTTACTATAGAAGTAGAAGATCCAGATCCAAATCAACTACACGGAGGAGCAAGCAACAATTCACCATTAGAGCCTCCATCAATTCAAGAAGTACGAGATGCAATAAAACACCTAAAAAACAATAAATCTCCAGGAAGTGATGGTATACCCGCGGAACTTATTAAATGTGGAGGTGCTTCTGTGACTAATCAAATATATAAAATAATACTGAGAGCCTGGAATGAGGAACAAATCCCGGAAGAGTGGTGTATTGGAATCGTTTGCCCGCTACACAAAAAGGGTGACCAATTGGAATGTAGAAACTATAGGGGAATAACCCTCCTTAATACAGCATACAAAATATTTTTGAGGATCATATATGGTCACCTAAGTACATATTCAGAGGAACTTCTCGGGGAATATCAAAGTGGCTTTAGGCCTGGTCGATCAACAACAGATCAGATCTTTGTGCTAAGGCAAATACTGGAAAAAACCAATGAATTCAATATCGAGACATACCATCTTTTTGTAGACTTCAAATCTGCCTATGATAGTGTCCTAAGAAATAAATTGTATGAAGCAATGAATGAATTCCACATCCCCGATAAACTGATAAGATTGGTTAAGGCTACAATGCGTAATGTGGTTTGCAAAGTCGAAATACAGGGCGAACAATCACAGGCGTTTGGAACGCATGTTGGGCTGCGACAGGGAGACGCGCTGGCGTGTCTCCTTTTCAACATAGAACTGGAAAAGGCGAATATTTTTAATAAATCATCCCAAATTTTGGCATATGCAGATGATGTGGACCTAGTTGCCCGCACAACACGCAAGCTAGAAGAAATGTATACCACCTTCTCAAATGCCTCAAAATCTATGGGCCTGCAAGTAAATGAGGAGAAAACTAAGATGATGGCATCAACACCCAACAATAGAGCCAGGAACATCGGTCCCCAATTCACGGTTGATAACTCTACCTTTGAAGTGGTTGACAAATTCACATACTTAGGCTCCCTGATCACCAAAGAGAACGCCATAACGGAAGAAATCAAGCGAAGGATAGTAATGGCAAACAGATGCTATTTTGGACTGAGTAGACATATAAGAAGTAGAAACTTAAGCCAAAAAACAAAAATAACTATATGCAAAACCCTTATACAGCCAGTGTTGACATATGGATCGGAGACATGGACCATCTCCAAGGCAGACGAAGACCTTTTGCTTATATTTGAACGAAGGATCCTGAGACTAATATTTGGTGGCATCTGTGAAAATGGTGTTTGGAGGAGGAGATACAACTACGAGGTATACCACAGATATAAACAAATATTTGGTGGTAAAGACGTAGTATCTCTTATAAGAATAGGAAGAGTAAGATGGGCAGGACATTTAGCAAGATCACAGCAGAACAACCCTCCTAGAAGAATCCTTATGTCACAACCCGTGGGAAGCAGAAAAAGGGGTAGGCCAAAACTCAGATGGAAGGATAGTGTAGATGAGGATAGTAGAAAGATAGGCGCAGTAAACTGGCAACGGTTGGCAATGGATAGGACTGCCTGGCGTAATAGACTTGGGAAGGTCGAGGCTCTTTCATAGGGCTGTAGCACCATTGATGATGATGACGATGAAAGATGTTCAACTATCTAGAATGAATGGAACATGACAACAGAGATTGGGTCCAGAATTGAAAAAGCAAGATCAAGTTTGCTCTAACATGCACAATGTATTTACTAGCAGGCACATTTTATAAAGGTCGATTCAAACACATCAGTCACGTCTTGTCACAGTCCCGGCGCCGAAACGAACAATCCGTCAATACAAAATATTCTTTAATAGAAATATGCCGGCGGCATTCACATTCATCAGTTGACGAACAGTTTCCCAGCTCTCAAATAATTAATAGTTCTAGGACCAAACAGGACCGGTTCGGCGCCGGGACTGTGACGGGACTGATGTGTTTGAATCAACCTTTACTATTATAAATCCGATTAATCAAATGTTACGTATTTCCGGTTCTACAGTATGGAGTCTAATGAGAGGTCCCAAATATAGGTTGCTACAAAATATCAGGCAAGGAAAAATAGCAGGCAAACGCAGTCCAGGACGAAAAAGAACCTCATGGTTGAAGAACTTGCGAGAAACTCTTCGAATCCACTGGGTTGACCATTTATCAAACAGAAAAGTACTGGAAGACATGCAGTACTTCCTGTAGGACCTCAAGAACTTATAAGCGACCTAAATGCTGCTAGTAATGAAGTTGATAAAAACAAAAACCATGTACAACGAGCTAGTGGATGTCCAAGATGTAATAATAAACAACACTGCACTTGAGACAGTAGCCGAGAATATATACATATCTTTTGTTAAAAATGCATTTATGTTGAAATCTAAGATTCCCCTTTACCTGAAGCAAATTAAGAAATCAAATAAGAAACCAAATAGATTACATAATAATAAATGAAAGATTCCGAAATGCCATATATTGGCTAAAGCTTACCCAGGAGCAGATATAACAAGTGACCACAATCTAGTTCTACCAAACATAAAACTCAAGTAAAAAATAAGATGAAAACAACTGTCAAAACACCGAGAATCAATCTGAGAAAGCTAAAAAACTTATGTATGTCAACAAATCAAAGAACAAGTGCATAAAGAAGTTCAGGAAGTAGAAAGGCAAAAGCAATTTTCAGCAACAGATAAATGGAGGAAAGTAGAAGAGATCTTAAGAAATATCACAAAACAAAAATAAAAAAAAAAATAAAAAATAGATCACACAAAAGATAAAAGAACTGATGACGGCAAGTAGGGTACACAAGAATAAAAACGAACGATAGTATAAAAATAATTAATAAAATAATCAAACAGAAAATCAAAGAAGCTAAGGAACTGTGACTATCAGAAAAGTGTGAAGAAATAGAAAGGTTAGATAAACAAGATGACAGTTTTTACATACACCGGAAACTCAAAGAGCCAACAGGCATATACACTAAGAAAGGTAGAAATATCATGGATAAAAATAACAATATAATAACGGAATGTATAGATAAAATAAACAGATGGGAAGAATACATAAAAGAGCTATTCGAAGACGACAAGGAAATTGAGGTCATTGAACAGGAAGAAATGGGCCACCAATCATCAAAGACGAAATTAAGAAAGCGCTAGTGGGCGGGACATTTAGTGAGAAGAACTGAAAAACGATGATTCACTAGAATTACACTTTGGTATTCAAGAGACGTCAAAAGACCATGAAGATATTCAAATGTAAGATGGGATTATGACGTATGGCAAATATTAGACAATCGTGGGCAGAAATAAAGAACGACAATGATATAGATATATACATGTATACATGTATAATGATGATAATAATAGATGGTATCACTTGATAATTGTTTTTTGACTATAGAGTTCTTTTTTTCTCAACAATCTCAACAAAATTACCTCTCTCCGAAAAATGTTCGAAATATTTCTGGAAACTTTTGTTACTGTACTGTAATCGGCATAGTTGGATGTCGTATTGTTGACTTTTATTCCATTATCTCTTAAAGAAATGGTACTTGATTCCACGTCTTTTATCGTTGAAAAAGAACCATTCATTCCATTTGCAGTTGTTAAATTTTTCTCTTGCAGCATTTTCTGAGTAAAAGTTTCAGAACTTCCATTGGTAACATTACCTCCATTGTTAGTCACTTTAGCAAACACGATAGGGACGTAAGTAAAATTATCTGAAAACATTTTATTTTTAATTATAAAATCAACTATAGCGTCAAACCTGGGGTCATTTTGGGAACTCCTTTTTGCCAGATTTGTGTTGATCTTTTTCTTATGATTCTTAAAATTTATGTATGTTGAATGACGTCGTTTTCTGTTGTTTCTAACAAATTTTTGAAAGCACTGTTTTCCGTTATCTAGCTGGCCATTATTTAAAATAGTTGGATCCTGGCGAATTGCACATTTGATGGTTTTCCAAGCATCGTTGACGTTTCTCGGTGAGTTTCTTTCAAGTAACGCTTGAACCATGTCGTGAATGAAAGGTACTTCATGAAATATTTTGTTTAATTCTTCACAACTGGGTTTTTCATTTAAATTATCTGAAACTATTTATTTACAAAATATGTTAATAATATAACGAACATGTAAGTTTACATATTTCAGAAATTAAAAATGTAATAATACTGATAGAAAAGAATATATATGGAAAGAATAAGTAATTTAAATAAAAAAAGTTAGTACACTCTTAACCTTCCAATGAACGGATGGGTTAAAAATTAGACTAGTATACGGGTGTGGCCTGTCCGAGCCATTATTTTTTGGCAATTTTTTTAGTGATCAACATTTTTTGTTGCAAAAAATAAAACATACCTTCATAAATACATTTATTCAAAAATAAATTATTTTTTTATAACGTTTGAAATCTTCAAAAATACAAAAAACTGTTACTTTTTTACGTATTTATATTTGAAAAATCAGTAACGTCATTTTCTACAAAAATAAATATTTTAAACCTATTTAGTCTAATAAATAAATACCAGCAAAGGTTTGGATTTTTCGCACAACAGGCTGTAATATGCTCCAGATAATGTCGGCTCTTAAACAATTTACAAAAAATCTAGTTTTACGCCTTTTACAATATTTGCAGTGTCCCCTTTTGTTTGGTGGGGGATTTGGATGCTCCCGATCAGGTATTATAATACCCGCATATTTAGTCTCTAGTCAGCGTCTTAGTTAAAGCACGTGCTGCAATGTTTGGTTTAAGCAAGTCAAGTCTTAAATTTTTTTAAAAAATTCTTCTGTCTTTGCTACGGGTGCATTTTTTTCTGTTTTTTATTTTCGTCTTTATAGGGGAGGTCTGGAATCTTCAAAAGACATCTCAGTCTAGGACGCCGCCTGACTGGCCTTAGTGCAGGATCTTCATACTCCCGGCGATAGTTCCCGAGGTGCTTTAAAATGCCCTCTCGTCGCCGAGTCTACACCGAACGCCTACCTGCTAAACCAGATCCTCCTCTGTCATTCATCGAACCGGTAAGGCCGGCATCACTTCTGAAGCGCTACCTTCACTCATCCACAGACTCTCAGCAAGGAGGCTCCCTGCCTCGTTCCAGGTAGCTCGTGGAAGACCCTCATTGCTCCTATTAGGGCATCACTCTCAAACGGGCATTTCCTCCTTTCTCACAATCTGACTCACACAGTCTAACTCATACAGTCTGACCCACTTTTCTACCTTCAACTTCCAGCATTTTTCCTCTTACCCTTATCGTGGGTCCAGCTATCTTTGTTCCTTTTTTTTTCTTGATAACTGCACGGATAAAATTGTGAATACTAGTCCAACTTGCTTTATTTTTAATCATTCTCTCAATCATTTCTCCCACTGTAACAAAATTCACACCTGTCTTTCTTTCCATTCTCTTCCTTTCTATTATCCATCGGTTGCACTCTAACATCGTATGTGTCACAGTGTCCGAGTATCCACAGTACAGACATCCATCTGTGTCAGCCTTTATGAAACTAGAGAGGTAGACCCTAAACCACCCGTGTCCTGTGAGCACCTGCGTCAGGAAATAATCTAGTCACCTGTGGCCACAGTTCACTCAATCTCTTATGTTCGGGATCAGAATTTTTGGCCACATTCTCCGTGTTATTCTATTCTTCTTGCCATCTTTCGATTGACCTTTCCCTTTCCTGTCTTCTCTCGGTCATAGTAAAATTTGGGCCTCTTCTCTTATAGAGCTCTTTTATCTCCACCGCCAGAACATGCAACGGAATACATCAAGTGATGGTCCACAAAGCTGCCGCAGAAACAGTCGTGTAGGCGCATGCTACTCACAACAAACTTGTAGACTCGTGTCAAGTGCCTCCTATAGACTGTTATCTCTGTCGCCCCGCTCCGGACTGGTGCCGAGTAAAGGACGATCAACACCGTGTAAGACCCTCCCCCTTTCGGAATTAAGTTCCCCAATGTTGGGCATCACTCTCCCCAACACGTAATACCTCTCCAAGCGCTCCCCCATTTTCCATTTTAGTGCAATCTCACTCCTAGGTACTTTACGTATTTCTTAGGTGTTAGACATGCTCCTGCACATTCTAATTTAACACTTCGCCTGGTTCTCTTCTCTTTCAGAATAATAGCTTCAGTTTTCTCTACCGCAAGTTCCAGTCCGTGCTGGGCCATCCATTTATTCATGACACCGCCTGCGTTTCAAACCTGTCATTTGAAATCTGGCTTATTACGGACCACTACTGCGAGGTCATTCGCAAATGCGAAGTGTCATAACATCGGGCCCAAGACAGATCCTTGAGGGACCCCAGCCGTCACGTCCACGATCGTGCCTTTTTTCATCATATTCCTTCTCACCAGGACTCCTTCTGCATTTCCTTCATTACCTCGTTCCAATGCAGCGTATTGAATACATTCTTAACATCGAACAACAACAGGGCCGCCGAGCGACATTCATCCCCTCTGGTGCGTAATGCTTCGAGCACACTCACGATTGCATCAATCGTTCTTTTCCCTTAACAAAAACCAAATTGCCTTTGAGATAAACCATCTGACCTTTCAATCATGTCGTCTATGCGTACTCGCAGCATCCTTTCAACAGCTTACAGATGCAAGAAAGAAGACAGATGGGGCGATACATTTCCCCAGTCTTGGGGAGCAGTATTGAGTCATATTGAGTCAAACACTCTCCAGGTTTTCTACCGTCGGTGATTGACCCTGCATTATGCTCACTCTCCATTTAATCAGCTCCACGTATACTTTCCAGTCAATCACATCGCCGCATCCGCCCCCAACCGGACCGCGTTAGTGGTCCCCGTTCCGGTTATTAAGAACCCAATGTACTTCTGTTCAGTTCCGGTGTAGTCTGGCAAAACCTTCCAGCCTCTTGATTTCGCCTCTATTCCTTGTGTCGCCATGGTCACGTCAATGTACGTACTCGTACCTCTCCTAACAAACGTAGGCTCTAGACCTGTGTTCAGTAACACTAGGTCTAGAGTACCCACCCAGTCAGTCAGTATCCTACCGCGAGTGTCTAAAACCTCCCTAAAATCTTCCGATACTACGTATTCTTCTCCTGCGATTCCCACTGCATACATGATGTTGTCCATCTTCATCTCATACTCGCCCACCGTTACGTTTGGAAAAATATAACAGCAGACCAGCCACATCCCCTCAAACAGAACAATCACATATTATTCTTTTGGCTTAATTTCATACACTTGCAGCTTCCTATTGTAGATTCGTACAGCAGCCCTCCCAGTCGTATCTACAAACCATCCTCTTCTCCTTACCGCTGTTGGACCTCCAACAAGAACTTTTTACAGTTTTTACAGAACAAGAAGAAAAAACTTTTTACTCCAATACAAAGCGGATAGGGTTCAGACAGATCGACAGCTGATAACATTGTTGCACTAGAATCCGAAATTCATAAAGCATTTAAAATCAATAAACAGTAATCGCAATATTTTTTGACATCAAAAAAGCTTTTGACACAACATGGACGCATTATATCCTTAAAATTATGAAAAATAGATGGTAACTTTCTCACTTTCACCAAAAACATGTCCATACAAATAAAAACGAATGGATTCGTTTTTGGAAAGAAGATGGAAGAGCGGAATACAACTTAAACTTGTGTCTAAATGGTCTAAATTTTCTGTAAAAAGTCCGCAAAATCAAATTTTTGGGTGTAATATTTGACTCACAACTCACATGGACTTCACATATCAACAATTTGATCAAATCCTGTCAACAAAGAATAAACTTATTAAGAGTTTTATCCAATCATAGATAGGGTTCAGGTACAAAAATTCTTCAAAATTTATATCAGGTATTAATAAGAAGCAAACTCGGCTACGGATGCATTTGTTGTGAAAACTGGATGTTATTCAAACCACATTTTTACGACTAATCTTTGGAGCATTTAGAACTACTTCAATAAAAAGCCTTAAAATGCTAATAGGAGAAATGCCACTATACCTCAGGAAACAATATTTATTACTATGCTACGCTTCAAAAATTCTAAGCGCAAAGGATCATACCTTTCTTGCAAGTTTAGTATCGGAAAAATCACTAGAACAATATACAAATTACACCACCAAGACAGTACCATTTACAAACGAGTTAAAAGATTACCATATTATATCAATACAATCACCTTGGCACCCATAAAAATATACCAGACACCTCCCTGGACAGTTTCTTTACCAATAGTAGACCTCTCCGTACTTATTCATGATAAGCATTCACACATTTTTCCTACTGAGATCAGGCTTCAGTATCATGCAAATTTACTTAAATATTCCACTTACAAATTGTTCTTCACTAATGCCTCCAAACATTGCAATGGAGCAGCAGCTGCTACTGCATCAGAAAACGTAATTTCTGCCACTAGATTAACTGACGGCTGTAGTATTTATACCACTAAATCATTATAAAACTACAAATGAAAAACAAATACTAATATTTGATTGATGGATTCGACCGTTACTTGATGGAAATTCATTTTATGTAACAATAAAACACTGAAAACTTTGTTTTCAAACTTCCACAAAATTTATTTTAAATATTATCACTACAGCTGTTTCGGCTGATTGCCTTTCTCAAGTGATCTATTTTGGCTTGGGTTTACAAATTTATAGTCTCTAATGAAATAGGTTGAGGAGGGGAGAACTGTTTGTCTCAAGTTGGTCATTCAGAATTATATCTGTGGTATCGTCATTCCATCCAACACAACATAAACTGGCAGCTTATCATAGTATGTTACATAGATTAACAGAAATTCCGATGTCAAAATACAACTGTGAGACAGAATTAAATATAATTAAGCAGATAGCAGTAAACAACGGATACAACGAACAAACAATTAATAAAATGTTAAATCAAAAGCTATACAAGAAAGCACTGAAATTAGTATTTCCACCACTAGAGAAAAAACCCAGTACCTTCTGCTCGATTATATATACAGGCAAAATAACAACAAAAATTGCCAAACACATAAAAAAGAAAGGAATAACACCAGCTTTCCGAACAAATAACAACCTAGGCAAATATATTAAAAATAACAAGAGCCAAAATAAAAAACACTTAAATAGTGGTGTGTACAAACTTCAATGTGGCGACTGCCCAAAAACTTACATCGGTCAAATTGGTAGAAACTTTGATAAGCGAATAGCAGAACATAAAAGGGCTTTCAAGAATAGAAAAACAGATTCGACATACGCACTTCACCTTCTAGATCATAATCATTCTTTTAATGACAAATTTAAAATTCTTCACTTTCAAAATAAAGGCCTTAAGCTATCTTTGTTAGAATCTATGAAAATCAACAAATTAAAAAACACAGATATAATTCTGAATGACCAACTTGAGACAAACAGTTCTCCCCTCCTTAACCTATTTCATTAGAGACTATAAATTTGTAAACCCAAGCCAAAATAGATCACTTGAGAAAGGCAATCAGCCGAAACAGCTGGAGTGATAATATTTAAAATAAATTTAGTGGAAGTTTGAAAACAAAGTTTTCAGTGTTTTATTGTTACAATACTAATATTATTAGATTCATTAAGTTCTTTACAGGCCATTAAATATGATTACCTTACACACATAAATCTATTCAATTACTATTTATAACTGGGAATAAGCCACAATTAAAGATAAAAATACATTTATTGACGTTTCAATTTCCAATTCGGAAATCGTTCTCAAAATACAAACAGTAAATTAAACAAATTTTGTTTTTTGTTACATAGTGAAAAAATTCTTCTAATAATTTAATTTTATCTGACTCATTTATATTGACAATTCAGACATACATTATGCATTTTAAAGTAGACGACTTTAAAATGATATTGCCAATATTGTTCAGTTGCGCTCCTGGGACGACTTTACTTATAAGATAGTTCATTCGATTATTATTATTCATTTTAAAGTCGTCTACTTTAAAATGCATAATTTATGTCTGAATTGTCAATATAAATGAGTCAGATAAAATTAAATTATTAGAAGAATTTTTTCACTATGTAACAAAAAACAAAATTTGTTTAATTTACTGTTTGTATTTTGAGAACGATTTCCGAATTGGAAATTGAAACGTCAATAAACGTATTTTTATCTTTAATTGTGGCTTATTCCCAGTTATAAATAGTAATTAATTTACAATGCCACAAGAAAATAGCTTCAGAATAATAAATCTATTCCTAATTAAAAACCCGTTGCAACAGCTCCAATTTTTTGGGAAAACCATACTATTTATATGGGCCCCATCCAATTTAGGAATAACTGGTAATGAGCTAGCAGATAAAACAGCGTTTGAAGCAATAACCAATGTGAACATTCCGACTACAACAGGTATACCAATATAGGATACTAAAACTTTATTCAAGACTCATGTAAACAAAATCTGGCAAGAAATATGGAATTAAACAAAGATAAATATCATGGACTGATAGAATTACAAATAAAGAAGTACTGGAGAGGGTTGGTAAAGAACCAGAACTAATCACCACTATTGACCTAACCCGAAAATTTAAATACCTAGGCCACTTGATGAGTGGACCAAAATATGAAATTTAGAGACTCAGAATAAAGGGAAACATTCAAGAAAAAAGATCTGTTGGCCGAAGGCAGAACTCATGATTGAAGAATCTGCGTGATTGGTATCAATGCAAATCGATTGATTTGTTTAGAGGAGCAAGTTCAAAAATAAAAATAGGAATTATGATTGCCAACCTCCGTAGGAAAACAGAACTCTAAGAAGAAGAAAGACAAATTTTAAAAGCCTCAAACCAGACGTATCTTTAAAAAATCTTCCTATACCATCAAAAAGAAAAGACTAGGTAATTATCAGCAGACTCCGACTTGGGCATACACGATTTACGCACGGCTACATAATCTCCAAAGAACTACCACCAATGTGCCAAAGATGCCAAACACCTTTCACAGTCAACCATATAATAATAGAATGTCCAGAGTACACCTCAGCCAAGGCGATATTCAAGATACCCAACAGCCTGAAAGAAGCACTGGTTATAAAATTCAATGAAGGGCTGTTGTTTTTAAATTACTGTAAATTCTATAATAAATTATAATTTAATTTTTTTAAATAAATTGTACCATATTGTTGTTAGTCATGACTTCTAAAAGGTATCCTATTTTCTCTATGTGTATCATAAACCTACTGCTAATAACCCTAGTGGTTGATGCGGATAAATAAAATAAAAAAAGCTACTAACAAAAAATAAGTAAAGAAAAAACCACAAAAAACAGTATTAGTAAAACAATTAAATCTGACACATAATAATAGAGAAGAAGATAAGGAAGAAGCAATAGAGAAAAAACTAGATGGAAAACAAAGAAACGTTCATAAATATTTTAGCAATATGCCATACATTACCTTTAAGATCTTCAATACCCAACTGGTCATGATTTACTGTTATGGACTCAATTTGTTCAGATTTGTCATCATTATTACCAGATCTTGCCCTCAACTGACAATTATAATCGATTTTATTACATTCATCGTTTGATAAAACATTAACTTTATTACTTTTAATATTTATGTTCTTATTTCGAGCATTTCGATGCCTTCCCTTTTTCCTAACAACGTAGTATCGTTCTGGATACCTCATTTTCTTCATAACAAACATATTAGAACTACCTTGTTTACTTTTAAGCTTCTTATTAACATTTCTAACTAACGCTGGCTGTCTGTCTACACTTTTAACGTCAGTTTTAACTCTGGGTAGAGGCCAGACGTTGTGGTTTTCAAGCTCTTTAAATCGCTTAGTCAATGGAGCAGATATATCCTTGGCATTAGCATGATCTCTATCCGATTCTTTTTCTTCAACTATGTCTTTGAAGTCTTCTACACTATTTAGGTACCGTTTATTAATACTAATTTCTACAGTCTTTGAGATCAATCCAATAAGAATGGTTACCACTAGAAAACTGCAAAAGAACCGATATATTAGTAAAAAAAAAACAATGCATCAAAAATACCTTTTTTGATGTTTTAAAAATGAGTAGCAAATACTCTTGACTATCCCATGTAATAAAATAGGCTATGCATATTATATAAGTATCTCTTTTTAGTTTGTAATTATTGTAATTAATCACTTGTGCACAAATTAAGTTTTAATGCCCTTCGCTTTACAATTGAAAAAAACAATAAATTGATACATACAAAAAGATCTATACCAATAAATAATATTAGAATCGTATTAAAATATTACTTACAGATTTAAACCATGCAAATGCATTGAAATTTAGCATCCAACAGCATAAAAATTCTCATTGTGTTCTGTACAAAAACAGGTATAATAAACTTACAATAAACTTGGTAAAAATATTTTTGTATAACTGTCAAATTAGTTGTCAAATTTTGAAATACGTTAAAGGAATGCTTTGCGCCTAGACTATATAATATACTTTACGCAATAGCAAAAACTCTATGTATTCTCACTCACTTTATATATACAGTGTGTTTCAAGGAAAATTTGACCCCCTTCCCAGAAACTCAGAAACCAAGAGTTTCTTCAAAATTTAAGAAAACACGTCAATTTGTATTGAGAGAGGGACGAAGTTTCAAGCGAAATTTATGCCCTCAAATGCAACCCCCTACTACCCCGTATCAAGTCCCAGTTTTTTTTTAATAGTAAGTGTGGTCAAGTGGCACATAATTTAAAAGATGTTTTTTTCTCTACACGACAATCTATTTTCTTTAATTCACTTTCACCAAATTAACCAATTAAATATTCTTAGTGACCTCCAATACAATAATGCAATCAACCTGCAAATCGATACCAACACGCCACTATGTTGAAGATTACTTTTTTTTCTTTTTGTAAAAATATTACTTTTTCATAGGGTAAGTCCAGGAAAGTTGGACCACATTTCTTTGGATGCTCACTAAAATTATATTTGTCAACTTATTAACATTATTATTTAAGCGTTTGGTAAAGAATTTAGTTTTATACTTTCCATCTCATCCGGACGTGTCTGGGTGAGATAGACCAGTAGCTTGGGAGATATGGACCAGGGGTAAAAAGTAGGATCAATGACTACAAACCAAGTATTAAGTAAAAAATATGTATATTTTACATAATAATAAATGTTACAATAACCAAATAAAAAAACAAATAAGTCTATTATTCTTTTGCTTTCTTGACCACAATCTTCCTATTAATGGGAAACTTCCCTTTTTATGACATTATTTCACTGGTACCGCAAAAGTCACATTTTACTTTAAATCTAGAGCAACCTTCATGAAACCACTGAGAACACTGTACACACTTCACCCAGTCTTTTTTTTGTAGTTTTATTGCAAGCCTCTCCACATCCCACACTTTCATCTTCATCCCATTCTTTTACTGTCATACCGTCATCTTGGACTAGATCTGCAGAATCATAGCTTTCTGAGTCTAAACTTTCAAACTGTGTCACTTTGCTAGATTGTTCCTTTTTTGGCTTTAGAAACTTCTTTTTTGATTTAATTTTTTTTCTCAGTTGATTTTGTTTCTTTTTCTTTTTTTGTTTATCTTTCATTGCTTGCTTAACTGCCTTCCTTTAAACAACAGCAATGTTCTGAGCTGAATTTAATACTTTTGAAACAGTCGTCAAACATCTCTTAACGGTTACGTTCTGCGTGAGAGAAGAGACGGATGATATATGTTCTATAAGTTTAGAAGGAGTCATTTTTGACGGTGTAAGGCTACTTGAAGTACTGGGGATACTAGCAAAATCAAATTGAGTTCTTGATACTGCACAGGAGACAGAAGAATCAACAGTGTCACTTGTTGGCACACTAGTTACAGCATTGACGTGTTGGCCTATAAGTTCTGCATTAGAGGCAACAAGATCAACCTCGCCGATTGGTGCACTAGCGAGAGTATGCGCCAATACTTGGACAATGAACACTGCACTGGCGGAATCGGACTCTAGGTAGGCGTAAGCTGGTATTACAGACATATCTAAAGGGACTATGCCACAACCTCAAAATCCACTCACACCGTTTTGTACATCTGCAGCTTTGGTCCATGTAGAGTTGAGAAGTTTTTCAAACTGCAGACGATTGATCTTTCTGGATGGATTGTTTGTAATGAAATAATTACAAGCACTATAAAAGTAGGACTTAAGAGATTTGAAAAAGGATCGGTCCAAAGGTTGTAGCCAGTGCGAAGTATGGGGTGGAATGCTCATCAAAATGATTCCTTCGTGCTTCGTGTACACTAGGACTTCCAAGAACTGGTTAGTGAGGTGTGACCATCAAGTAAAGGAAGTACTTTCCCGGCTGGTTTTTTAGGTTGAAAATGAATTTTTAAACAGTGCAGAAAAACGTCACTAGCGACATAAGAATATTTTTGTGACATTTTTACAACTGAGCCAGTAGGCATTCCGTCCATGAACTCAACTTTCATCTGACGTAATGGAAGTTACATTTTTCGAACCTTTAATGGCAACAACATTTCCTGGCTTGTTGTTCAGTTGAAGCCCAGTTTTGTCCATGCTAAAAATGTGCCCAGGCTTTTCAACTAAATTGTTTTCCAAAATAACACTTTCGAGTAACTTAAAGTACTCTTTCACACACCTCGTGTTCATTCCCTTAGCTCGAGATACAGATATACCTTCTGATTTTCTAATAGTAAGAGTAGGATTTCTTAAAAGAAAAGAGTTTAGCCAATCATAACCAGCTTTTCTAGTTTCCTTGTTAAATTTGTGAGGTAGTTTTAGCTCTTCAGCAAGTTTAAACGCCATGCTTCTCACTGAATTTCTGCAAGGAGTAAACCCATGAGCTTGTAACTTTTTTATGTGGCCTACAATCTTCTGTTTCTGTTAATTTACTCTTCCTAAAATGGAGAAAAACCCTAAGCTAGAGTCCATCTATGCCAGATGCTCTTCGGATCTTCATCCGTCCAACAGCCTTGCCGAGTTCCAACTCAGTGAAAGGTTCCACATATACGAAACCAATAACCCTTTCACGCCTATCTCCCATCTGAGGAAAAAGTTCCCGTATTAAACGGAGTTTCTCCTCCTCAGGCAGGGGTAGGGTGTCTTTTTCCCTTTTAATTCGGTACAGACAATCTTGAAGCCCTGCCCCCAGATATCCCTTTCGAGATCCTAAAGTAGGTTGCTCCACCTTTCTTTCTAAGATCTTCTTATCTCATTCCTGTATTCATTCTGCATTAGCTTTAATCCATTTATTCTCTCTTCCAAATCTACTGCTTGTACTCTTCTTAACCTCTTACACTCCCTCCTTACTCCCATGCAGTTTGTCCTCAGATATTCAAGCTGCTCGTTCCACCAGTATGGTTATTTTCTTTCATACCTCCCATTTGATCTTACATAAGCGAACTTTTATGCATCACTCAGACACTCAATTAACTCATACGCATCTTCACATCCCGGACCAATCAAGCCAAAAGCATCTACAAAAACATTATCAGTGCATTCGGAGGAAAGAAGGCACGAAGAACTAATTTTTGAGAAACAATACTTACTACAGTTTTACACAATATAAGTGTAATGTATGTATTAATACATAAATACATATACAGGGTGAGTCATGAGGAACTTTACATACTTCTACCATATGTAGAGTCCCTCAGGGAGCATATCATGTGGCCACTAAAAAATGTCAACTCCTCTTCTTTAATAATTAACAGGGTGATTTGTGTAATTGACCATTTATTTCATTTTAATGTAGTGTTTATACGGCTCATTTGATTTTTTTAATTTTTGCATGATACAGTACAGTTCTATCAAGCATTCGACTGGTATTAGCTAAACTAAAAAATTCCAGGACTGGCTTTGGAAAAATTAATTTAGGGAATCGTATTAAATATTACACCCTGTATATATATATTTTTAAATGCAATAAGTGATTTTCAAACTACATAAATAGCCAATGAAAACGACATATGCGACAATGTTGTCGCACTTTTATTAAATTTTTAGTGAACGATCAAATCTTACCAAAAATAGAACGAAAATGAAGTATCAAATTATAAGGTATTAATTTAAGCAAATGTTATAAATTTCAAACATTTTAATTAAAATGAGTTCCTACAATATAATCTAATACGTAGAAAATTAACATCTTTACTGTCACTTTGTATTATCTCTACGATAGAATCAATTGTTTTTTAATTTTAAATTTTTACTCATAGATCGTATTGGGGCATTATTTTAGATAAATAATAAATTAAATTGATTAAAAAGTCAAACCTCTTGTATGTGTTAGTTTTTGTTGATTGTAAATGATTAAAATTTTATGTCAAATAATAATACATTGCATTAACTGTACTAAATAAAAATAAATCTAAAAAAGTTTAAAATGAAGGTTGGCGTTGGCCGTTTGACGTTTCTTGATATTTTGTACCCATTGTCATTATTGTCATTATCAATTGTTATTTATGTGTACAAGATTACATATTTCTTCTGTCATATCTACGTTAAGTACATTGTGTTAGTTTTGGTAGAGCTTTTGTTACTTTCGTTCAAAATGCCACATCAGTTTTCGACCACAGAATATGCAGACATAATATTTGTTTATGGATTTTGTAATGGGAATGGTAGGGCTGCTAGTAGAGAATATCGCAGGAGATTTCCTAATCGTCGAACTCCCAGTCATCCAACATTTGGGTCAGTTTTTAATTATTTGCGAGAAAATGGCACTTTTCCTAGTGGAACAACAGAGCGACATGTAGATGAAGCGCAGGAAGATGACATTATGGACGCCGTTACTATGAACCCTACAATAAGCACTAGACAAGTAAGTCGAGAACTCAATGTTACTCAATCAAAAGTAAGTAGAGTCTTACAAAAAAATAATCTATACCCATATCACATTCAAATGGTTCAGCGACTACATGCTGGAGATGAGATCGATAGGTTGGAATTTTGTAGATGGATTAACAATAATCGACCAACGCTATACAGGACACTATTTACAGATGACGCCCAATTTACCAGAGACGGGATAAATAATTCACGAAATTCACATGTGTGGGCAGAAGAAAATCCCCATGCTATTCGAGAACGTCGTTCTCAGTTAAGGTTTTCGGTTAACGTGTGGATTGGTGTCATAAATAACCATTTAGTAGGTCCTCACTTTTTTGATGGTCCTTTAACAGGACAGGTCTATTTGAACTTTCTACAAAATATTTTGCCGAATTTGCTTGCCAACGCGAACGTTGCTATACGAGGGATATATTTTCAGCATGATGGGGCATCCCCACACTTTTTACTGGCAGTGAGACAA